CCGTGACAAACTTACATCCTTCTCAAAGTAGTAGGCCACATCAGCTATATCCACATCTCCAGAAGATTTTTCTGAGGAATTTTGCTTCAAATCAATAGTAATGTAAGGTTTCTCATACTGCAAAAAGATATAGTATGGTATTAAGAAAGGGCCAATTTAAATCCAGTTATCAAATACACAGCTACGTATTCTATTCCAACTAGTGAACTCCCGTTCTGAATCACATTTATGATACTGTTTAAGCCAATGGTTTACAGTAGGATTCAGATTTTAGTGAAACAAAGTAAGAATTTATCTACTGACTGAGAACAATATGTAGCTTCTTAGTATTTCATTTGAGATACAGCTATTTGCTAGCTGCTCAGCATCACCATTTTGAGAGCTTCCAGTAAGACTCATGCTGTACTGCATCTGTCAAACATGAGTTTTCAAAGTTACCCACAACTAAATAAAGTTCAGATACTTGTTTAAAAATTATGTGCCTTACCAGAACACTGCTTATATAGCGTCCATCCAGCATGTAACGATTGCTAATTGTTTCCTTGAAAAACCTGTAAGAATATTAAAACCATAGCTCTAAAACCAGTACTATTTTACACATCTATTTTCAAAAGCAGGGAAGACTAGTATAATTGGTTATTTTTTTCCTGCAGTCTCTTTGTGGTGGGTCATCCCCATCTGGCTGCTATACCCTCACCTAATCTCTCACTCACTTGCCCCTAGCAGGATTAAGAAGAGAATCAAGAGGGCAAAAGCAAGAAAAAACTTCAATGGATCAAGATAAAGGCAGTCTACTAAGTGAAAGGGCTAGGTGGTGAAATTAAAAACCCCCAAAAGCCACCACTCACCACTAGCAGATTGATGCCCAGCCAAATCTAAGCAATGACTACTTACCATACAATATGGGATCTCCCCTCGGTTAGTTCAGGTCAACCACCTCTGCTGTGTCTCATTCCCAACCTCCTGCCTACCCCCAACCTACTCACTGGGCCAGCAGAGTGAGAGTCTGGAGGCACCCTCGACAGTCAGCACTGTTCAGCAAGAAGTCATCAGTGCTTTAGCATCAACACTGTTTTGGTCACTGGTCTAAATCACAGCACTGTAGCAACTGCTACCAAGAAAATTAACTCCATCCCAACCAAACCCAGTACACTCATTATGATACTAGAGCTCTGTTAATTCCTGCAGTGCTGGAGACAAGAGTTTGAAGTCTTTGGAATTCAGAAGAGGAGTTAGAGAAGCAACCTTTGTTCTGGGTGGGAAGGGGTGTGTGGGGTATAGCTACAAGCACTTTTTCCTTTTGCTATATGACCTCTAACAGAGAAAAGTAAGGTTTTATTTCAGCTAAAAAATAACCAAACTGTTCTTTTTCCCCCTGTTGCTGCTGCTGCTATGCAGGCCCTCCACCATCTTTTTCAGTTTACTTTTTGGGTAGTTTCGCCTTATTACCTTCCATCTTCTTCAGTACATTGACTTGGTAAAATAAAAACTAGCTATCAGTTAAAAATGGAAATGAAACTCATTGGCAGTTACTTTATCCCCAGTAAAAATTAAATAATTTCCATTAAGGATCTGTAGGTCACTTTTAAGATATCTTAAAAGTGAGATGTACAATTTTGACAATACTTTTAAGTGTTTGATTAGAAATACACTAGGTACCAAGTAGTGCATGCAGGTATTGCCAGGACATCTTACTATCATCACTTACTTCTTTAGAGACTCCGTGTTCAGAGGAGTATTTCTGTCAGCATGTTTCATTTCAATTATGATCCACCTGAAGCAACAGGAAAAATACAATAAATATTCTTAAAGCATGTACATGTAACAATGCATAATAAAAATATAACCCCAGGCAAAAGAAACCCCCCACAAAGCAATGAGACAAAAACAAAGAAAATCCCCTCCAAAACCCGTCAATGGCTCCTTGTTGCTGAAGGTAAAAAAGAAAAGCAGTACTCAAGTGCTCATTGTTCTATCTCCATTCATCCCCAGCACATTCATGCAGATAAACCCTCTAAAACACAAAACCTAGTGCAGCAATGTTTTCACCTCACAGCACACCCTGTTGAAAGACATACCATGTTCTGACTAATTGATTGCACTTCAAGTCTGCATCATGTTTGTCAGTTCTTCTAACACCAGCTGTATTCACACACCAACAGGTAGTCCCGTTGCACTGCCTTGCCTTGAAAATACCAGTGTTTTCACACTCGGGATCATAAAGGCCATCCGTATCCTCAAATGCATCTTTTGGTTTCTCACGGCGACCTGATTTTGAGCCCATCATTTCTGCTTTCATCAGCAGGCATTTTGGAGTCACTGAGAATAACCAGAAAGTCATGTTATGCAGCATCAGACCATACATGTTCAGAACAGAGCTCCCGGTCTATAAAAACACAAGGTTACATCAGAAGCAACCAGTTTGAAGCTATTACAATGAAGAGCGGGTGTCTAGCACGTAGGTGGTGGATCAGTTGACACAACTGGGCTGTGTCAGTTTCTCAAGATGCTTAAGAGGTCCAGCCAGCTTTCATTTCCTACAGCATGAGGGTTATAGTTGAGCTGAGCGTGAACCAACAGTAAGGTCCTGAAATAAGGCTCTTGCCACGTCTGGATGAATAAGAAAAGTCATGATATGTGCTTACAAGGAAGCTAAATCTTTGAGAAATCCTTGCCATTACAGGCCAAGTACTAAGGCGGACAGGGCGCTTGCCTCAATATAGATTGACCTGGAGGACCAGGAAGCAGCTTTCCTTCCTTGCCTCCCTTATATTCAAGAGCTCGAAGGCTATTTTCACACATCACCTCGCGCTCGGCTAGCACTGCCCCTCGCTGCCCCGCACCAGCGCGCACGCCCGGCCCGCCCGCTCTGTACTCACGCGTGTTGCAGTTCACAGTCGCACCGGAGCCCACCGCGTCGCACCAGCAATCGCCGCTGTTCAGCCTGCAGTTGCTAACGCGCTTGTTCTTCTCGCAGATACACGCTGGAAAAGAAGCGCGGCCGTGAGCCCCGGCACCCCCGGGGCACCACTGCTCCGCGGCGGGACAAAGCCGCCCCTCACCGGCCGGGCGTGGCGCACCCAGACCTGCCGCTCCCCACCTGGCCCCCCGCCCGTCCCCAGTGAAAGGCGAGAACTTCCGTCGGGACCTCGCCGCGGGCCCCTGCGGCCGGGGACAAAGGGACGCGGAGGCCCCAGCCCGCCCTCCCTTGTCCCTCAGCCAACGGCCCCGGTGGCGGGGGGCGCTGTTTTGTGTCGAAGCGGGGCTCCCCCAGAAGGGGACCGTGGAGCCCGGTTAGGAACAGGGGTGGCCGTGGGGGAGAGGAGCGCGGGCACTTACAGTTCTGGGCACAGGCAGCAGCGCAGAGCAGCAGCAGGAGCGCAGCCCCACAGAACGGCTTCATGGCTCGGGCTGTTGGCGGGGCAGAGGGAGGCCGGGGCAAAGTCAGCGGAGGAGCCGGAGCGGTCTGTGCGCGGCGGCGAAGCCGATATGAGCCGCCCAACAGGTTCCGCAGGTGGTGGTGGCTGCGCCGCGCCCTCCCGGCTCCGGTTACACCTGGGACGCGCAGGTGATGGTGGTGGTGGCGGCTCCTCCTCCCGGGCCAGCTGGGCACACTGGTCCACCATCGGCCCTGCCCTCCGCACCTGGGCGAAACTGGATGTGGCAGGGCGGGTTCCTCACCTGGCCCGCCCCGAATATAGCCTCTAACCCAGGGCTGAGGAGGGGGAGAGGTGAGGGGTGTGTTGAGGTGCGGCTGGTCGCGGTGGATGGGCTGTGAAACCTCCCCGCCCGTGCTGTGAGGGCTGGGGCCTGGGGGTGTCTGTCAGGGGCCGAGGGAGAAACTGTTAGTCACCGGGGAAGCTCCCGGGCGTGTTTGCTTTGCGGGGAGGGGACAGGACAGGAGACAACGCCGCACGGTGACACACTGGCCAGGGGAACAAAGCCTCCCCTTCTCCCCGCTTGGGACTTATCGATCCCGCCGGTGACCGTCATCGCGGGCAGGACTCCCCGGGGGTGGCTGCCCCGAGGTTATCTGCCCTGGCCTTGCGGCCTCCGGGCTCGGCTTCTCCTTTCCCTCAGGAGACAGACGGGGGGTGTTTTCCCTCCCCTCTGCGGGCGAGCTGCCACGGATCGCTCCCGCAGTCTGCTCCCGGCAAGCCAAGAGCCGGTAATAAACATTCACACCTTGTAGTTAAGGCTCGCTCCCATCTAGAGGTGCCCTTTGAACTGCTCCATGAGGACTTGGTGTTGAAAACAAATCATCGTAAGCCCTCAGTTAACTTGAGAAAATCCAGAACACCTGTCTGCACGGAACACACGATTTTGTAAGGATTTTTTTCTTTTCTAAAACACACATCAGATAGTTCTACCTGGGGACTGCGCTTCCCTGTGCTTTGTCTCGGAGCAGCACAGCTTTGTGGGAACCTACAGAACGGAGGGTAGTGCCAGAGCCCCGCGAGGTTGCCGAGGAGGAAATGTAGGGAGGTCTGCTGCAGGGTTTAAAATGGCTTCCCAAAGTGTAAAAGCAATGGCAAGACAGAGGACAAAAGATAGGTATGGTACACTGGAAATATTTCTGAAGGCTTTTGAGTTTATCAGTTCAGTTAAAAAATAGGCATAGATCTTTCTGAAAGATACCATAGTGACCTAGATAAAATAAATTATTTTAATAGAGTAAAACCAGAATCACATCCCTCTAAGTCCGTTTGGGCATATCATAGACTCATAGAACAGTTAGGGTTGGAAAGGACCTTAAGATCATCTAGTTCCAACCCCCTGCCATGGGCAGGGACACTTCACACTAAACCATGTCACCCAAGGCTTTGTCCAACCTGGCCTTCAACACCGCCAGGGATGGAGCATTCACAACCTCCCTGGGCAACCCATTCCAGTGCCTCACCACCCTTATGGAAAGAACTTCCTCCTTATATCCAATCTAAACTTTCCCTGTTTAAGTTTTAACCCGTTACCCCTTGTCCTGTCACTACAGTCCCTAGTGAAGAGTCCCTCTCCAGCATCCTTGTAGGCCCCCTTCAGATACTGGAGGAGGAATACTATGAGGAATTGCCAGCTTTTCCAAAAACTTGGAACTTCCTCTTACCATTGTTCACATTTGCTATACAATAAAAACATGTTGATGCTTTTGAACATGGAAACCTCAGTTAATGAAACTGTTTGAAACCTGAAATGAAAGTGTAGATCAGCTCTCTTTGTGGTTTTGTCTCTGTGTGCAGCTGTTTGTGTTGTATCTTGGGGTTTGTATTTACTGTTGTCTACAGCGCCTTGCTGAAACTAGGTACGTGCTGTCTTGGGTGGGTCTGAGTTAAATGACTGTTCTTTGGGTCTGCTCCTGGTATGGCCTGAATCGGAGTTTTGCAGCATTTATCTTGATTCTCTTCTTGTAGTTTTGTTTGGCTTCTCGATGCTCTTCCAGTACACTTGGCCAAGACTGAAATAAGAGCATGATCTTAGCAACTGAAAACTTGGGAAGACTTTAAAGTCTCCGATATAGACTTTTCTCATTGCTGCTGTCAAATGATGGTGTTCTTCAGGAGGATGAGCAGGATCAATAGGCTCAGGAATGCCTGCCTTACTGTAAATCTCATTTTCTATGTAAATACAGAGTTTTGTTCAAGGTAAGCGCTACCCTGTTGTTACCACCAAGCTAAACTATGTGATCCTTGCTAGTAATGAATGGTGGATATTATGATAGTCTTTTTTCTTTAATATGTAAATGGAGAAGAGAACAGGCTGGGTGCATGCTAATCCTCCTTGTTCTCTTGGCTCTTGATCTGTGTAGGTAAAACCCTGTGCCTAGTTTTAAAAATCCAAGCCTTAGTCTGCAGTCTTGAAACCTTTCAGTAGCTACTACTGAAAGTAGCACTGCTTCTTCAACCACCTCCAAGTACCAGGCAGATCTTTGTTGTCAGTATACAAAGAAACAGCCATAAACTTTAGTGTCTAAGGGTTGAATGGTCTAGGGTATTTGTGTTGACCAGAGCAGCCTCTTACAGTGTGTTTGGTTTTTTAGTGTGACAATTATGTTTTCCCTAAGCTGTTAGGTATCACCTGTAGAAAGCATTACCATAACTGTGGTGCAAAGATAGGTGCATTATGTTGTTGTTTGTAGTACAGCATTTGATTTGGTTCCAATTTGCAGGAGCTCATAAAGAGCTTGTTATCTATAATGTCTCCAGGTTTCCAAATCTGAAGAAATTATTGTTGATATATTGCTCAGTATTTTCGAAGCAGAGAGAGTTGCTTTATACAGTGTAATTCTCCAGCAAAACAATGGCTGGGAAGGACCATTTATAGTAGTATTAACTTTTCCCTCTTTCCAGGTTATTTTGAGGGAAATTTCTCTGTAGAATCAAAGCCAGTGGAGCAGGCACATGGTTAAAAAGACAAAAAGGCCCAAGTATCAAAGTAGCTTCATTAAAGCTACTTTTCATTAAAGCTACATTAAAACACATACCTTAGTGTCTAGGGGGTTGGAGTGCAATGTCTTTTTGTACCTTTTTTGGCAATACATAAGTCTTTGTGCCGGCATACGTGACCTTATTCAATGGCTATTCTAAATAATCCTTCCTCAGCATACAGCTTGGAAGATAAGGCCTTGCTTACTGGTTTTAAGCAGGATAATTTTATCAAGTGTTGGAGATACCTCCACTTATCAAATAGCTGAATGCTGATTAGGCAGTGCAGTGTGGGCTAGTTGTGGTTTACACTTACTGAAGTATAATTATAGCTTAGCCAAATTATAATTTTCATGCTAGGAGCACATTACTGGCTCTGTCACATAGCCAGAAAATGAAACAAAAAGTTTTTATCACCAGGTCCTGAAGAGTATGTGAACTTACATTAGGAAAACTCCTGTGATCTACGTTAAGATTTTGCTTTGTAATTCCATCTGATGCAGATGTGTTGGGAGAATAAAGTTCAGTTCACTCATGTACTCATGAGCTGCTGATGCCGTGGGAGATTTTCTCCTGACTTCAGTGAACTGTGAATCAGATTCAAGGAGATAAATCCAGCTCTTCCTGAAGTCAGTAAGAATTAGAGCAATACTGGGATCTGGCCTAGGCCTTTACGGGGTCATTTCCAGGTCTTCTCTAGAAATTGGGTAAAAGTGGGCCTTGTGATACTCCCCAGCACAGGAAGTGGACAAAATCTGCTTTCAGGGAAAGTTGCAAGGATGTGTGAGTCACTCCTGAGGTATCAGGAAACAGTGCGAGGTGGGGCTGTGACATGCACTGTGGTCAGCAGATCAGGGAGATGAGTGGAGAGAGAAAGATCAGTACCACTGGAGGATTTGGCAATCCAGCTCTAACTGAGATTCTCCAGAGCCTGCAAACCTGGTTGGTTTGGGTGTACCCTTCTAAAGATAACCAAAGTCTCATCCCTAGAAAATAGGCCATGTGGTACCAAATTGCAAAACATAGTCTTGTGTTTACTTAACAAAAATAAGGAATTTTGAAAATCCATCATGACTTTTAACTGGTTACAGCTGACAAAGTTAGAAGCGACCAGAAATAGACTTAACACTCAAAAGTGCCAACAGGTTTTTTGGATGGTAGGATGGTAGACATTGCTATATACATTATCTATATTCTAGACTCAGGAACTGTTTATTAGGGCAGGTTTAGAATGTTTGTGTTCAACTTGGTTTTGTTTTTGCAGACTGCACCATTTGCAGAGAATAAAGCCTATGAAGAGGACAATACTGAGAAATTATATAATCTTGACCATGATGTGCTTCTAAAGAGTTCATGCCTTCACAAATCGACATACGCTGCTGCTGCTCAAAGATGTGTAATGAAACTGGTGCTTCTGCATATTTTATTTTTCCTGCAGGTTTGAAAACAACCATGTAACAGGTAAGTATTGTCACCCTGATTTGAATAATGCGAACGTTTGGAGTTACAGGCAATTTAAATGTTTCAGTTATATGAAGCTGGTCAAACATAGCGCCAGTAAGAAAGTAAACGAGCAGTCATGTCTTTCTGCTAGACTGAGTGTCTAACCACTTCTGAACACTCAAAAAGCTAATTTACATGTTTTATTTTTAGCCTGTTTCTAGATCATGTATTTTTTTAATCCCTTTGAATAACAATACGGTTTAAAGCATAACTCTGTATTTTGCTGAAATTGTCATGCACACTGGAGATGAAAGTTAATTCTGAGGCAGTGATGACACTCGTAAAGCTGTCCTCAGCTTCAGAAGCCCACAGCTTGGCTCTCTATCAGGCTTGAGACTGAAAGTAAGAGTACCTCCTAAGAGGTAAAGGGCTGTTGGTTCAGAGGTTCATAAAACTAGACAGTGTGTAGCCACAGGAGGGAAGTGCTCATGCAACTGATGTTCTATTTGTGTATTTGAAGATTATAGAAACCAATCTGTGATATGTTGTGGCATCCTCACCTCTCTGCCAGGGCTTAGTCTTAGCTCCAGTGGGTGGGGTCAGCAGCAGGCTCATCATCCTTGTCTTTATTTACCTGAAGATACATCTCCATGGCTCTTACACTGACAGCATTAGATAGAACATCTGTTAGCATTCAAAGCTGCCTAAAATGAGCAGCATTGGATGTAAAAAATTGAATAACTTTTCATCCAGACTACTTTGTAGCAGAGAGGCAAACCTATTAATTCCATGAAGTGCTCAATCCTCCAGAACACGTGCTGGTTTAGTAGGGTTTGGAAAGGGCTCAGAGGAAAAGAAATTGTAGCAAGAGAAGCTCCATTTATACTAGAATTGCTTCAGTTCTAGCATATAAGATACTTTTTTTGCCCTTTTAGCCATTCTCTGGGAAAGAAGATACAGATGGAACTTTGTCAAAACACTTGTTAAAAACTGTTTGAGAGAGTCCTAAATACTTCTTAGCATATTTTGTCACATGATATCTCTGTGCTGTTGGCAGAGCCAAAGCAGATGGTTACACAGACAGAAAGTTGTCATGTCTCTCAGTATGGTGTTAGCAGCAGGACATTTCTCACAACCTGAAAATGTCTGCCATTAAATTTGCTCTGTGTCAGACTTGTCTATACGTACAGGTCCCTACAAGGCTACCTAGAGTGTGGATTTACAGTGTGTCGGGTAACCTGCAGTAGCACAGCTGTACCCAGCAGTAAGCAGAAGACATTTACTCCTCAAGGAAAACAGGGCCAGAGCATGCACACAGGTGGTTTCCAGGGAGCTGCCAACATGCTGTAAATCCCCACCCACTGTTGCCTCATGCTAACTGGTGTGTGAAGTCATACCCTAAGCAAAGGTGAATAAATACACCCATGAGCAGAGCAGAAAAATCTCATCCCACAAATGCCATTTAGCACAACACAACGGACAGCAGAGAGCGGTGTTTGTAGCTCACAGAATGTCTTTTTTCCTCAAGGAAATCTATTGCTTTTGTGCTGTGCCTACTTTCCAGTTCATTGGTTTCCCTTATTTTTTCAGTAGCTGTTACCAAAGTTCAACTGTTTCTCTTTGCACTTTAATTTACAGCCCTTGTACTAGTCATTTTATTGCTTCAACCTCTGAGTGAGAGAACTTTTACAACTTGTGATTACTAAATTCAGAGAAACAAGAAAGCTTTTTGACCTGCCGTGGAGTAATCATAGCTCACATTGTTTCTTGGGAGAGGCATTCAATGTTTAACAAACTGTGGCAACTTTAATTTAACCATGTGGAGCCTGGACCATTGGATGGGAGTGGAAAAAAAAGTAGTTCCAGACTCTTTCCAGCTCACATTTTAACGTGCCTGCTTTTAGTCTGCAAAGGGCTGTCTTTGAAGTTCTGTCTTCCCACTGCTGAACTTGATGCTGTTCCCTTTGTTGCAGTATGAGAGGACTGGAGCCAAACTATTTGCATATGGATATAATTTTCCCTTACATCAGAAATTATAGTTACATTACCTTTGATTAATCCTTTCATGGGGTGAGTCTTCCAAATGCTGTGCCATGAAAATAAGGCTGTTGACAATAGAGAAATTGTCCTGTCTTAATTACTAGTGTTGTTTCACATTATAGGGGCTGTGGTCACGGACAAAGATTCAGTTGTATTCAACAGTGTAAAAGCAGAGAATATATAGAAACCCTGTGTCTGAAGGAGTTTGTGATCTGAATTATGTGACCAGTAAACTCTGAAATTGGAAAATGATGTGAAAAAGTTTTGATACAATTTACACACTTTGCCCAATTGTAAACCAGCTAGCTGAGAGTTTGAAGGCTCCCACCTATTCTTTATCCACTGAAACAGAATTAGTAAGAAATGGGGAACTTGCCTTCAGGAGAAGAATTAGGACATTATTTTGAAAGCACCAAAGTTCTTCTGGTTTTTATGTCCCTCGATAAAATTCAGATCTATTTCCTGCATAGTAAGTTGCTTGGATCTGTTGGGGTTTTGTGTACCAACGTGTACATGTATATTACAACAGAAAAAAAGAGGATTAAAACACAAGCTGAAGAGTTTGTGTTTTTCAGTGCAGACGAGGACAATCCAGTCGCTCTGTGCATGTGCCACACACCGGCAGCACCCTGGGCTCGGCCGACACATGCCTGCTCCCTGCTCCTGGGAAGCCTGGTGCTCTTGGCAGCTGGAACAAGTGGCTGCAGGGTCATGTTGGTACACAGGAGTCCTGTTTATTAGTGCTCTTTGCAGAATACAGCATGAAGAAACAGCACAGGCGCAACTGGGTGACGAATAATCATGGTTATTAAATACTCGCCAACACAGAGTACAATAGAATATAGTGGGGACATCAAACGGTTGAAAAACATCCAACAACCTCACAGTTAAAGGAGTACTGTACATCTGCTTTCCCTTTTAACACAAAATATGCCCTCAGAGTTTGAGTTACTGATGTTGAGAGATATATCATTCATCACTTGCCATTTTGTGACGTGATGGTGAAGGCCTAATATATTCTATCTTATCTATTTATTTTGACGTAAATGGAGCTCTTCAGATAAGGTTACTTCATTTCATTTACAACCAGCACAGAAGTGCCAATCCTTAAACTATTCCTCTGCTTGGAATTAAAGTTCATAGAGGATATCTCAGCCTATTTACAATAGAAACGAACAGCAAGTTCAAACTTACATCCCCAGAGCTTGATGTAGATGTGGTGCTGCAGAGTACCTGACTGTTCTGTGGTACGTAGAAGCAGCATGTTCAAACATGCAGTGTTTGCTGGCAGCCTTCACATTCTTCTGCTATTTGCTGTTTTGGTCTGTTCAGCACTTGTTCACTACATAATTTCCAAATGATTTTCTTTTCTTCTTTTTCCTGAATTTCTCAGGATCTGAGAATAATTACCGCTTTCTGGACTTCAGTATTAGAAAACCCTGCTGTATGCTCAGAAGTTCAAGTAAACAAACCTGAAAACAGTTTTCCTGCTCATTCATCTATCAGTGACATACACTGCAGTGGCATTGGACCATCTGTATTTATAATCAGACTGTAACATTTGTCAGTACAAGGATTTAGCTGTAAGGCGCCTTCCCAGTATCCTTACTTGCCATCTCAAGTAGCAAACAGGTAAGCCACACCCAGCCTGTTTTGCTTAGTCCAGACATCACGATACCACAATTCATCTGAACTCATCTAAATCCTTACTCTCTTCCCACATAAAAACCCCAGGCTTCTGGTGATAGATGTGGATTCAGGTGGTTTATATTCCTTTTTAATTTACTGAAACTTGTGTGACTAGCTACACCCTCTATTCTGAAACAGTTAACCACATAATCCAACATTTGATTTTTATCCAAATGCTTCAGTTTCGTTATGGTCTTTGGGAATGGAGCTCTCAGCCTGTGTGCATTTCATCTAGAACATCCTGGACTGAGAGGCCAGGTTCTCCCTAGCAATGTCAGGAGTCATCCCTACAGCAAAGAGAGGCTTTTTCATTTCATACTCTACAATAAATAGAAAAAATCTATAATTAAAAAAATACATGTTTTATTATGAACAATGATCTGTATTTAGAAAAACCAGTGGTTCTCCATCATGACTCTGAGAAGAAATACCAGATGTCATTCCTATGGTACTTTATCTTTCTTAAAGAAATAAAAAATACAGTTTACCAGAAAATATATCAGAGGCCAAAAGCATTCATTTTCCTACCTCACAAATATTAAAAGATTAAAAAGAAACTATGTATATATAATTTACTAAAATACTAGCCCTGTGCTTTTCGTCAGTGATGTTTCTTAACGTATCTGTAAACAACTCAATCACTGAAAAACTTTAAGTCCTTTTTCATTTAAAGGAAGCAAACTGCTCTGCAGCTGCCTTTTTGGACCAGGTGCTGGATAGCTGTGTAACTATGTATACACACTTCATGTAATTGAGTTCCACTACATTAATGGATTCTCTCTTCCCCATCCCTCCCCCCCCCCAAAAAAAAAAAAAGAATCCCAGGCCTTTCAAACCCAGGTCTTATTCATTATATATTATATAAAAATCAGTTCTAACTGTGATAACAGTTTTGAAAGTGTTCAAGGCCAGGTTGGACAGGGCTTGGAGCAATCTGGTCTAGTGGAAGGTGTCCCTGCCCATGGCAGGGGGTTAGAATTGGATGAGTTTTAAAGTCTCTTCCAATCCGAACCATTCTATAACACACAAAGATGAAGAGTAGCTAAACCTTCCACCTATAGGAAGGATTAGGAATTAAGTACAACATGAAATCCAGTGTATTGTCCTAGACAAATGCTGCATTGGCTTAGTTTAAATTGCTGGTGGCTAAACAGTGCCCCCTGATGTCCTGCAAGGTAGTTGTAAACCACGAGTTTTAGTTATTAATGTGGTTATTAATAAGCCAAGTTGAGAAGCAGTTAAGTCCACTGTATCATGGAGAGGATTTAGTCAGGTAAAGTCCTGTTTCCTTATTGTCACTGTGTTCAGGCATCAACCTTTCCCACATCGATGTTTTTCCATGATGCTTCCAAGTCGAATCCTTGAGTTACCCCCATCTCAACAGTCCTGCCTCAGACTGCAGAGCCCTGCAGGAAAGAAAGGTGAAGTTTTGGACTTCTCACAGCTTTTTCCTCACAACTTCGGGCTGAGCCAAGGTTAGGCAGCTGGTCTGTATCAGAGCAGAGCACTGGATGGCAGGGGACAGTACAGTAGGGGTTAGAGAGTCACAGTACCTGTTGAGTAACCTGATTGTAACAGATACTTGAGAGTGAACAGAAAAAAAACCCAAACTTTTAATATTTTGTTGCAGATCCAACAGCTCAAAAAAAGGGGGAGAACTACAGGGAAAAAAAATCCCAACATACAAACCCTGGAAAAGCTCTATGTGGATAAAAACTACCTTGTAAGCCACTTTGTATGGATAAGCCAAGGAATACAAATATTAAGGATAAGGCACTATTATCACTGGAGTTTTATGTTTTTCAGTAGGGCAAAAAATATGACAGAAGCTTGTTTCCTAGTCTGAACAGCTTAGATAGTTATGTGAAGGTTTCCGTAACTTATCCTTTCTTTGTTTTCCACAGCTGTCGACCAAATGTTGGTTCATTGAGGTGTGCTTTGAGTCCCTTACATGAAAAGTATTACGTACACATAAAGAACAGTTTAATGCAGGGTAACTCAACCTCAATACTCAACATGTATATAAGGAGAGAACCTCAAAGAAACAGACTTTTGCCCAACTGAAGTATTTGGTGTTTTCTCCACCCTGCTGCTCCGTTTCCCAATTTCAGGCTGTTCTGTACAGAGATGTTGTTAGTTTGTACATTCACCATTTGAGGCGTTTCTCCTCTCTCTAGAGAACACAGTCGGAAACCTGGTATGACCCTTCCCTGAATATGCTCACTAACTCTGAGCACCTGCATAAAGATACCTAGCAAGTTATTGATAAAAGATGAGGTATGACGAGGCCTCTCATCTCATTACCATGACCAATGTGACTAGTTACACTTTTAACTCGCCTGTACAGGAGGAAACAATGAAATTGTGTGTATTTCTTGCCATCTTCCTAGAATAAATCTTTAGCTCTTACTAATTCCAGAGGGGCTTTTACTAGCAAAGGGTTTTTTTAATTGCTACTACGTTTCAGTAGGCTGCCTTAGACTAACTGTGTAACGTATGTGGAAGAGTAACATCAGGGTATATTGCACCTGTATTTTTAATGATCTTGGACAAAATGTTACCTATGCCTTCTCACCCCCCATGGGGAGACCCTTTACAGAAGCTTTTCCAAAGCTGTCGGGCAGGTGAGAGATGAAGACCGAGTCAAGTTTGCAAATAGCATCACAGAACGGGTTGGAGGGGACCCGAACAGTCCCTCGGTCCGGCCCGGATAAGCCGGTTTCGAGACTCATTCACCCCGTCTCGTCAGTGGCGGAGGCTCCGCACAGGCCTCGGACTGCACCGTGGGACCTCCAGCGCCCCGTGGCCCAAGCGCCCCGCCTCAACGCCTCCACCCGGCTGCACGGCCGCCCCGCCCACCAACTGCCGCGCCCTCCTGTGATTGGCTGGCGGGCCCCGGGCAGGCTCCGCCGGAGGGAAGAGTTTTCCGCCATCCGATTGGCTGAGGCTGTTGCGTCGCGCGCTCCGGTTGGTTGCGAGAGGCGCCATTTCGAGCTGCGCGGCCGGGAGGCTGTGGCGTGAGGGGACGGCTGGTGTGAGGAGGGGAGGGGAGCAGGGTGGGCCAGGCCAGGCCAGCTGAGGCCGGGGCTGTGCCAGAGCCTCCAGCTCTCCTGCTGGGAGCTGAAGTACCGTGATCGTAGCCACGCGTGAGGGGCTTCTCTGGGGTTTATATGGAACTGACTTATAGCCGGACAGCCGGGTAGGTGGCTGCAGCCTGGCCTCAGGCAGCCCTGTGCTCTGTGGAGGGACCCGCGGAAGAAGTAAACGCGTTTACTCCCACCTAAACATCCCTTTCTCCACGCTCCATTTGTAATCTTGAGCTTTAGTTACAAATACATAACGTCTGTTTCCTTGGTTATGCTTTTGGTATGTCCTACTCAAGGGTTAATAAAACAATTATGGTTCTGCCGCTTTAATTCTATTAACGTTCTTGAAAACAATGCACAACCACAAATTGGAGGGGCAGGAATAGAGAGTTTTTTGGTAGACCCAAGTAAGCTGTGAGGGGCTATGGTGGTCTGTTTTTTTTTTTTTTTCCCCATTTTTCAAAATTTTGAATGGAAAAAGATGGAAGGCTCCTTCCACTGAAAAAAAAAAAAAAGTTTTACCAAATGAGAACCAAATTAAATCTAGATAGCTGGCTTAGGGTACCAAACTTGGATGATTAGTACTGAATACAGTTAATTTTTGTATCACCTGACATACCAGCATTACCGAAACATTTCATTTGAACAAAAGAAATAATAAGAACTACTGCTCAGACTATATTTGCAGTTAATTTCTTCTTTTTTTAACAGGAACCTTTACTTGCCAAAATGAAGCAGAATATGGTGTGTCAGACACCTCCCACCATCACTGTTCGCGTTAAATCAAGCGCATCCAGATCACATCAGCAAAAACCCCATATCAGACTGAAGTGGTCTTCTCTTAAAGACCACGAAGTAAAACATGAAAAAAAGGCTTCTACTCATAAAGATAAATGTCCAAAGGGACCATGTCTGGTTATTCAGCGCCAGGAAATGACAGCTTTCTTTAAACTATTTGGTAGGCTACGAATGATGGGTATCAATGTATTGACTGAAGAGTGGGAAACTATTAAGCAAGTATGTTTTCTCAACTTGGTGATTTGGGGAGTTCTGACATAAATACTAATGACCATGTTATTGCCTAAATTATTCTGTTGGTGTATTTAGTATGTAAGTATTTAATGGTAAGTTAAAAATACACAAAGGGCTAGCAATGTGATGAAAAATTATCTTTTTAAATTACAAGGAAACCGAGGTGGTAAGATACATCCTTTTATGATCACTTCCCTTTCCTATTTTTTCCTATATTTCAACAAATACATGTGAAACAATGTGTATCTCATTTTACAAAAGGCTTAAAAAAGGCTCAGCTCCCACTCTTACAAACGTGTTATTTATTGTGGGAATAAGCATTTAGGGGGAGAAGTGGAATGGGAAGAAAATCCAAGGAGTATTCTCTGCATTTCTTTTGCATTTGTGTCTCTTTCATATACAGTTTTGTATTTATTTAATTTACTGAAGAGATTTAATAACAGTGGAAGAGTACACTTGGGTTTTATTTGAACTTTGAATACAGAAGTCAATCAGAGTGAGTTTATGGAAATCCTGTTACAGGATTTCTCCACCCTGCTGCTCCGTTTCCCAATTTCAGGCTGTTCTATACAGAGATGTTGTTAGTTTGTACATTTACCATTTGAGGTGTTTCTCCTCTCTCTAGAGAACACAGTCGGAAACCTGGTATGACCCTTCCCTGAATATGCTCACTGTGATGCACTGACCACAGATAATCAAGTATTGCCTTATAAAGGCTGTCAGGTCATCAGGGTGCAGAGATCTCAGCAGTCTGCAGGTCATCAGAAATACTGGAATGCTGTTAGATGGAAACACTTAATGCAGGAAGAGTTTTTTAATTCCTAATCTTTTTCCTGTCAGCTTCTCTGCTCTCTGCTGGTGGGTTTAGCTTCTTTCTGTTTTATGTGGTTAATACCAGGAATGTCTTATTTACAAATACTTTCTAGCAAAAAGAATTATGGTGGTTGAAATGCTACACTTTCCTTTTGTTGTAGATGATGACCTAATCCAAGACTTCCTTTGGATGGACTGTTGCTGTAAAATTGCAGACAAAGTAAGTACGTTTCCTTATTACTTAATACGACATATATTGAGTGAAAAATCTGCCCTTAATCACTTGATACCGTAATGCAAATACAGACCATCATTTTTTTTTTCTAATGTATTTATATAGAAGCTTCAAGAAACTCAATATATGCTTTAATAATTGTTAAAAAATTACGGAAATATCTTGGTGCAAGATATATGTGTGAAATATTTTAGGAAATTATATACTGAAATAATATATTGATACTTTATTTTACATTTCCAAACAGTATCTCTTGGCCATGACTTTCGTTTATTTCAAGAGGGCTAACTTCACAATAAATGAGCATACCAGAATCAATTTCTTTGTCGCTCTGTAAGTACTTTTAAATTCCCTGGGTTTATTAGCATAAGCTTGGTGTGATTTTATCCCTTTGTTTATGCCACTGATAATTATGATATATGACAATACTTCTTGCATGAGTGCGTAGTTGCTTGGGTTCTATATGAAGTATAGAAACATAATCTACATAACTATAGAATCATAGAATAGTTAGGGTTGGAAAGGACCTTAAGATCACCTAGTTCCAACCCCCCTGCCATGGGCAGGGACACCTCACACACTAAACCATGTCACCCAAGGCTCTGTCCAACCTGGCCTTGAACACTGCCAGGCATGGAGCATTCACAACTTCCCTGGGCAACCCATTCCAGTGCCTCATCACCCTAACAGGAAAGAATTTCCTCCTTATATCCAATCTAAACTTCCCCTGTTTAAGTTTTAACCTGTTACCTCTTGTCCTGTCACGACAGTAACAGGTCTAGTAACAGGTTTAGTAACTATACCTAAACAATGCAAATTAAACATTCTTCCTCTGACACCACCTGTGTGGAACAGGCTTGAGCAGCAGCGAGGGGATGTTGTGTTGGTGCAGTGATACACTGTGTGACATCCTGCCTACCAAACTAAGCCTGTGAAATTTGAACAAGAAGCACATGCAGGACAATACATGGCAACATCTGTGTGGCTCACACTGCCTGTTACAAGACCCTACTTTGTATCTTTGGCAGCTTTTAAGTCATTTGTACTCAAATGTTTCATCATGATTTGCACTTCAGGAGTAACTTTTTATTATTCTGTCAACTTAAGTCAACTGTAAAAATGTTGCTAAATAATTTCTGAGACCTTTTGTGAACAGTTCTGAAACTTCCATACTTTGAAACAGAGGTGCTTTACCAAGCCAATATAATCTCTCAATATTTGGCTGTACCTATAGAGTGATTCAGGATTTTCTTTCAGAAGAGCAAGAGGATTAGAAAGGGACAAATGGCTGGGGGGGGATGGGGAGGACACATGACATGGACAACTAGAGGGAATACTGGAGTTAAAAGCAAGTGAGAAAATAGGGAAGGACACTAAAAATTGTAATTTTCCAGGTAAACAAGAGTTTAGTATCAGGTGGATCCAGAGGAAGTAAGTATTTTCCTCTTGTCTGAGAAGTTCACCCAGAACCAGAAGTAGCACAGAGTGAAGGAAGGGAGAAATATAGACATTAAAAAACTCCTTTAAGGTTTTAATTCACACAAGAATGGAGACCTGTATTTAGTTGTTTACTACTAATAATTTAATGTAATTTTTCAAGAATTGCTAAAAATCCATAAAGTAGAAAATGTAAAGTTTAACATTTTGTAAGATAGTTTTAAACATTATTTAGATAATCAATCAGACATTGTTCCATTTTAGTGCAAGGACACCTTGCCAGTCTGGAGAAAGCTCTCAGGATATGTTAGTTCTTGCATTGTCTACAAATTTTGGAGCCTCTAGGGTAACACAATTTTTCTAAGAGTTTTTTTTACCCAAAGGATGCATATGGAACTTTCTGTAGAATAGAAACAAAACACTACTCCAGAGGGCTGTATGTTGTTAGTGGTTACTCTCACAATACTGGGAAAAAGAATTACTTTACTATTATGTCTTTTGATATTAGAAATCATACTAATACAGTGATTTAAGATTGAATAATATTTACAATCACAAACATATATATGTTTGAAGGTATCTGGCAAATACAGTTGAAGAAGATGATGAAGAATCAAAGTATGACATTTTCCCATGGGCTCTGGGAAAAGTCTGGAGAAAGCTCTTCCCTGATTTCTTAAAGTTAAGAGATGAGCTGTGGAGTAGACTTGACTACAGGGCTATTGTAAGCAGACGCTGCTGCGAAGAGGTAGGGAGGGTTTTAATCTTGTAGCTGATGAAAGTACAATAGTTAATACCAGCTAACAATCTTGCTCTGTCCATATAATTTCTTCTTTACAGTATGTAGACAAGCCATGGGAAAGAAAATATGCAGCTAACTTGTAATGGCCCATTTATCCTCTATGATTTATTTTTCTTCTGCATTTAAAATATATTATTTAACACTACGCTTTTAAGGTAAACTAGAATATTTTACACTGCAAAAAAGTGCTAAAAGTGAAGTTTTTATTGACAAGAATCCTTCTGCTTGATGGATAATTTTTATTTTAAATTTACCATTGGTTGTTTCCCTTCATTCACTTGAGAAATACTTCTGTGTGCATGTTTGTGCTTTACAAATTACAACTTTGTGCATAATTAAAACCTTCCAATAAAAATCCCAGCACTTCAGGTGAAATTTCAATGCTTCAAAATGAATAATGTAATTTCAATTGGCTTTTTATGATAAGGGTTTTTCATTGCATTTAAAAAAAGAGAAACAGAAGAACGCATTTTTAATGTTCTCTACTATAAATGCAGTATTACAAACCATGTTTTCCAAACCTCTTAGGAAGGGAAAAAAGACATTCCTCACGTTTTCAGGTGGAATGTATTTGTCTGGAAAAGCCCTGTCACGTTCTAAGAACATAATGTTTACTACAGCTAGTAGAAAAGAAAATCTCACGTGTTTACTACAGCTAGTGAAAAGAAAATCTCACGTACTGACCAAAGAGGTATTCCATACCACAGCACCCATGAATCCATCTCTGGGGATAGAGTCAGAGCTTGGTCGGGCTGGGGGGGCGAGTTATCGGTTGGCTGGTGGTGAATGAGATGCTGATGGGAAAAGTGCAAAGAACAAGACAAGTGCAGAATGCTTCTCCCACCACACCCTCCCAGCTGCCAACCATCATTAGTGCAGTCATGTCATGAACCAGAAGATCCTTCTACTTGATATTCAGCAGTTGGTAAAAGTCGCTATCTTCTGGCCAACATAAGAAACATACACTCGTATTTGGGATGATTCACATGAATATACAAGGCTGTCAACTGTTGTGTTTCCAGATCTGATTTACAACTGGTCTATTTGCTTGTGCCTAAGGTAGCAAACTTTCTAGTGAGACAGCAGCAGATAGACTACAGATGATCCCTATTTCAGCTACACAGAATTTATTCTCTGCCATACGTGAACTGGATCCCTTGTTTTCCTGTTCCTGTGGCATCTGATCTAATGATTGTTTGGTAGGTGATGGCTATTGCTCCAACACATTATGTGTGGCAGCGAGAGCGTTCCATATACCACAGTGGAGCTGTGAGAAACTACAGTGGTGATGAAGCACAGCTGCCCCGAGGACCAAGTGCTACTCCTACAGACTGCCTGCTTTGTGGTAAGAAAGGAAGATTTGTACGGCTAGGATTATCATCATCTTCCTCCTCATCTACTGACACTTTGGAGATGATGGAATTACAATCAACAAAGAATTTGAAGGACACCATTGCAACTGAAAAAATGCTCGTTGACTCTCCTTTGAATTACACCCAAGGTATAGTTTAAAAATTGCAAATAATTTTTAATTAGTTTGAGGCAACTGAGGCCATATTTACCCTTGGTATGGCAAGGCACGATATCTCTGCGTGAGCAGGCATCTCTGTTACAAAGGCAGTTACCTTGGCAAAACTGTGCCTTTACTGCCATAGTTTCCATTTTCACTTCTTGCCTCTTGATTTGCTGAAGTACCACCTGCTTTGTATTATGAGTCTCTTCAAATTGTCTTTATCTACTACAGTAGATTTTGGGGTTTGTTCAGTCTATTTAGGCACTATTACTATTCCTGCATCTCAGATTAAATTGAGAATCCTATTTTAAACACATAGGATTGGCTAGAGGCAGTAATGAAAATAATGGAGTGGGTCACATGAGTTAAAAGGCTGTTGCTGAGAGCACTGTTTTTAGAAAAGGCAGGCTGCTCAGTTGCTGTCTTCAGTTTTGACACATTAAATCACAACTCGCATTTTCCTCTAAGTGTATCTCAGTGTTAACAGAGCTTATGCAAGATCTCCTTGTAAGACTGGGGTGTGAGTATAAAGCAATCCAAAAATTTAGTCTGAAAACTGTTTTATGCAATTGCATCTCTGCATATTCCAAATAGCGTTCTGAGCCTCTGTATGAGAAGCCTCCATTACATACAGCAGTTATGGGACAAATGCTCATAATTTAATTAAGAGTAGAACACACCTGAGATGTAGACTTCCTTCATGCACTTAACCACTGCAGCCTTCTTGGCATCCTTATATAACATGGGTTTCCAGTTATTTATAGCTCTACTTTTCGTTTGTATGTGTTCTAACTAATACCCAGATTTTAACTATTATAGCTGTTACTTCTTTTGACAGCTTCAGTACAACTGTGATTCTCAAGGAATCCCTCCACTTTGAAAAATTTGGCATTTAAATATTCCTTGAGATACAGAACAAGTCACATGTCTACAACACATCATTTAATAAAGTTAAACATCACCACACGCTTAACATGTTATATGGAGACTTATGTGAGGCTCTAAAAGACTTAAAAATCTGTTAGTTACCTGAGGGGTCTTGCTTTTGGTATCTGACAAGGTCAGGAAAAAAAAAAAAGTTTGACTGTTTGGGAATGTTTTATATAAAGCAAAGTTCATAGAAAACCAGGCAGCTTTCAGCACAGATGCTGTAAACGAACCAGAGCTCTGTGTGTCAGCAATGTTTTCTTTTTCTTGAAATAAGCACAGCTTTATCAAGAGAACAAATTCAGTAAGTTTTTGTTTCTCTTACAGTTGTGCTTTAAGAAACTGACAGCCACCAGTTGGTAGCCAGTGAAGTCAGAAGCAGCTTCACTTGCATTTCGAATGACAGACCTTGATCCATTACGTTCTTACTCAATTTTTTTCTCCTTATTTCTGGTAGACTGTCAGAGCCTGTCCAGCAAAAGGAGACTAGGTAGCACCTGTAAGCAAGACAAATCCATGGAGTGGTTTACAAGCAATGAAGAATGAAGTACACCTGACGAGACAGAAACAAATACTGTGCTTTGCAAGACAACCTACCTGAGGATTCTGTTAAAACTTCTCCCTTTAAATGTAGGTGAGGGTTCAAACTATCTAGACCAGCCAAATTATAGCCATCATTACTTTAAAGTTATACAACTGGCAAAATGTAGCAGCTACTTTGTAACATTTTATTTTATTCTGATACAATACTCAGAGTAGCAGCTGACATCCCAGCAGCATCAAGCATGCAGTGGTCCAAACTTTCTCAGCTTGATAAGGAATGCTAATCAAAAAACAAAGCAAATTACTACTTCAGTATTTCAATACATAAAGATTATTTTATTATTATAAGTTTTATGGTTTTGTGATAATGTATCAAATGCTAGTACAAAACAACAGCATTTTTAAAAGTAAAATACCACTAAACATTTGAGATTAAAAAAAAAAACATTTTTAAGGGTCTCACCTGAATGAGCATCCTGCCAGGAAGATGGTCGAGCAACATAAGGCACCGAGCAGTGTGTTTCAGTGTCATCAGAAAGTGGTTCTATGAAACAGCATTCTTTTGTTAAATCTTTCCAGCAAGTTCAAAACATAAAAGCAGACTAGAGCTGCAATAACGTGTTATTTTCCCCAACATACTTTCATCTTATTTTTTTCTTCTGTCAAAGTGCTTTGTTGTCGCCTATCAGCACATTCAGACCTCTCTGCTCTACTATGGATTTTGCAAATCTATTCTAGCATGAGGCATCTTTTTGGATGAGCCAGAAGGGCACAATTACAAAACAGAGCACACTGGCAACATTTCTTCTATAGAACCCTTAAGCCTATCAGGGTCCTCTAAAGCAGGTACAGGAAGAGTAGAGGACTGAATTTTATTAGAAACATCAGTTCGAAAACAGCAGAAGGGCAGTCATTCTTTATTTGCAGACTGCAATATATTTTCTTTTTAGTCTAGATTTGTTTAATAAGATATTTAAACATAAATAACCATTAATATATCCTTTTCCAAATCTGACAAGCTATATGCTGACCAAAGGCTTGTCTGTTCTTTGCAGCAATCTCAGCTGACCTAAGGAAAAAAAACAAACAAACCCAAAAAACCAAAACAACTGTTTCTTCATACAAACTTTGCCATCATTATATCCCTGGATTATCAAATTGCATTAACAGGATCTCTCATTAGCAATAATGTTCTTACCATTGTATTCATTTTCTGTAAGAACTACTTGATCCTGAATGTAGTTTTCTTCATATTCGTTTTGAAGTGTTTCGTCAATATTTTCTGGAGTTTCCACCACTTGGCTTGATTTGAAATTCTTGATTTTAGCAGGGAGCACCAACCAGTCTCTGTAAGTTACCTCGATGATCTTTTCACACAAAAAAGGGAGCCTGGAGGTCCGTATTCTGTCTAAAAGTTCAATAACCTGTGTGATGCTTTTGAAGAAATGCAAAGGATAAAGTAGTATTTTGAAAACTCGAATCATACACAGTTATTCTCAGTTCTGCTGCCTTTGTCACGTTCTCTGCCTTTGAGGTTACATGAATCCTTCAACTTTAGGGTAAAGGAGCTAGTAAGCTGACTACTTGATTTGGAAAGCAGTAGTTGTTTTGAGGATATCTTTAAACTCCCACTGATTACAAGACCATTCCCAAAGTGAAGGCCAAAGGATTTGGCCAACTGTAATTTATACTGAGTGCAACTCCCAAAAGACAGAATTTCATTAAACATTTCATTGATGCTGGATGTATTTTTTTAAAGATGTTTGGTTTTGTGACAATGTTCAGTGATGCCCAAACAACTGTCTAAGTGCCAGAAGTAAATACTTACTTTGCTAGATACACAGCACACACACCACCCTGTTTCAGACTTGGCTGTACAGCAGGCAGAGCAGACTGAGGGTTAACCATATCCAGAACTACCTGTAAGAGGAAGACACATTTTCCCAGTACATATTAATATAATCTATCATTTTTTCCTGTAACAGTGCTTGAAAACAATGTTCGTCTATGGAAATGAACGCATACAACAGCATTATGTAATCACAAACTAGTTTTATTACTGCCTCTCAAAACCTCAGAGAAACCCGAGGTCCACACAGTTACAAGACAAAGACCTTGCTACTTCCAGATGAATCTGGAAACAGGAAGTAGCATTTCCAGAGTCATTCCAGTGCAGTAGTCCCATGTTAACATTAAACTTCCTACTAATTCCATAATGTTGACATTAATAAAAAATGTTTAGAAGATTGCATTTGCCAACACCTTTGGGTATTTAGTTTTCAAATGTAAAAAAAGAATAAATGTTCAAGTGCATCCTTATGATGAAGGGATCGCAATGCAGCCTCAATGTCTAACTTGCTCTTTGTTTCAAGATTCAGAAAGCTTTTGTCTGTGGCAGTTTATCCACCTTCTGCTAGAAAACTATTCAAACTGCAAACAATGGGACAGGCGCTATCTGATCTTCCCTGTTCAAGTTTTAAAAGAATGGTGTGTATGCTCTGTATTTTATTTCTTTGCTCAAAGCATTTAACACAACTGTCATGTGTTTAAAGTGTTGCTGTACGTAGACTTCCTGCTTTACATGGCAGAATGGTTAACATCTGGCTGTTTTCCCTAGCAAAATCTGGATATAGAAAGCAGGACAAGAGAGCGAGCAATGGCATTCCTTACTCTAACTTAGGCCTTCATTACCTTGTGGGTTCTATATAGCTGATAGCAAAGCGTTTACTATATTTTCATTAAGCTTATGTATTTTTAAATCTAATGTTTGAAATATACACCTTAGATACAAAAATATCTGTTTCTCAAGAATACAAGAAAGTTTGTCTTTGCCTACAAGGCAGAAGTGATTAATTGTGGTATTTCTCTACCACAGCCACACTGGTCTTGAGTTTGGCAGCCTGTAACTGAAACCTTAAAAATACTTGTAACATGACCAAAACCAAAAAAATTAGAATGTTTCTGTCACTGATGAAGATCTGTTTTTTCTCACATTCAACCAGATACGGGAATCCCACTGTGAGTGTGAGCAGCTCGAGGTCTGAATTTAGGCAGAGAAGATAAACATAAAATGGGAGGAGTTTTTGGACTTACTGCGTCAAGTGTTAGTGATTTCATATCCATAGCTGCTGTTGAAATGTCTTTAAGAATGAAATCCACATTATCTGGCCACTCTTCTGTATGTCCTATTTTCCATGCAGCACACCAGTGCCTGTAATTCTTCTTAGCTAAACTATGATGATCATCTCTGATTTCATAACTTATAACACGTCCTTTGGGCCCAACTGAAAACAAACAAAGACACTAGGCTTATTGCTTTTCCCTCCCGTAATAAAGAATTATAAAAAAATAGTGTAGTAAATATCGGAAGTACACCTTTCAACTTTAACTTCACTTTAGGGAACAATCACATATGAAACAATCAGTTACAATTTATTTTTTCTTTATATTTAAAACAAACACATGCAAATAAAGTGCTGGATTAGTTCTTTTATAGACTGAAATCCATCAACCCACAGGTGAAAAAAAGCACAGCTATAGTACTACAAACTGTTCCCTAGATGTCCTCCCAAACAACTCCTGCAGCAGAAGATAACTTGAGCATCTATGGCCCTCCCTGTCAATCTACAATTCTCCTGCTGGAGCTACCAGAGATACCAGCTGAGGAAGCTGCAACATTGGTGGCTACAGACAGTGAGGCTTCTGTTGTTAGTAAGGTTTTTTGACAACCCTAATTTTCATGCACGTTTGCTGTTTTCCTTGCACAGTTCTTTCTTCTCCTGTTCTTCTTAGGGTTGGGGAAAGGCTGAGAAACCCCCCCAGACCTGCTTACTGATTTCAGCTCCACAGACAAGTTTTCAAGTGTACTCTTTAATTTACACGGGCTTGTGTTATTTTCCTGTTATTTTCCCAACTGTAATAAAATAATTTATTACTGGCTGTAAGTATAAATTTCCTACCCCGAAATCCAGGTCCAGTACACAATGTCCATAAAGGCAGTGTTACTGGGATATCCAGGCACAGAGAACAGGGTGCGTCTTGCTGTATTATTTGATCCTTGTATTACTCTTGAATTCTAAAAACTACCACACTATTAGCTTCTCTTTCTCCTTGCTACTTTGTAATGGGAGAAAGCAGCTGTCAGGTATCAGGAGCTCAGGGAGTGGGACTCTGGGGCTTTGTTGGACATTTTAGATGGGAGTCACCAGGCTCCCTCCTTCCCTCACCCACACAATCTGACTGTGAATCCATTCACAAATGTGTGACTTGACCCTCTTCCCCACCACCCCCCACCTCCCCCCCCGAAGTTCTTCATCCAGCCCTGGGGCCCCTAACACAAGAGGAACATGGAGCTGATGGAGCGAGTCCACAGAAATGCTCCAAGGACTGGAGCAGCTCTGCTCTGGAGACAGGCAGAGAGAGCTGGGCTTGTTCAGCCTGGAGAAGGCTCCTTAAGGGGAGACCTTAAGAGCAGCTTCCAGTGCCTAAAGGGGCTACAAGAAATATACAGAGGTACTTTTTACAAGGGCCTGTAGCGACAGGACAAGGGGGAATGGCTTTAACCTGACAGAGGGGAGAGTGAGATTAGGTATCAGGAAGAAATTCTTCCCTGTGAGGGTGCTGAGGCGCTGGCACAGGGTGCCCGGAGAAGCTGTGGCTGCCCCATCCCTGGCAGTGTTCAAGGCCAGGTTGGAGGGGGCTTGGAGCAACCTGGTCTAGTGGAAGGTGTCCCTGGCTGTGGCAGAGGTTAGAACTGGATGAGCTTTAAGGTGCCCTCCAATCCAAACCAACCTGGGATCTACAATTGTCCTGCTTCCATGTATTATATAAGCAGCTTCTTACCTGCTTTTGACAGAAACAAGGTCAAAGCACCAGACCCACTGCCAGCTTCCAAAACGGTGTCTCCCGGGTGGATATCCATCATCATTAATATAGCACTTATATCCTGCAGGTGAGAAAACACCTAGCACATTACCAGTCTTGGAAACCAAGAGTGAGGTTCAGCCAGCGGCTGCTCCCGGTCACCAGCCATCCCAGTGAGCAGCCAGTACCTTAGGATAGGCGATAGTGGGCCCTCGCGGCATCAGCAGCACATACTCCTCCAGCGAAGGCCGCCTCACTTGCAGCCGCGCACCGCTCGAGGTACGCAGCATCTGCCCGGGCATCTGGCCGATGATATCTCGGTGGGGTAAGAGACCGCCGTTGCTAGTCAACACCGAGCCCGCCACCAGCCGGCACATCAACTTCAGCGTCCTGTTGTACTTCCTCCTCATTTCCGCCAGCACCAGCTCCCCAGCGCGGAGAGGACGGGGCTGGCTTGCTGCCACCTCAGGAGAAGCGGCCGCCTTCTCCTCACTGGAAGCCTGAGGAGCCGCCGCGCACAGCCCCACCTCCGCCGCTTTCTCCGGCGGCAGCATCCTCCTCACCCTCTCCAGCGGTGATAACGACTTCTCCCATGCCCTCCTCAGAGGCCTCCGGCCAGGGCCCACCCCTTCTCCGGTGGAGAAGGAGCAGAAGGCGGCTCCCCTCAGCCCGCTACAAGCCCTCATGTGGAGGGAGGCGGGGAACAAGACGCCCAACCGCTGCCCCTCACGCCTGCGCCGCGCGCACCGATGACGCCGCTCGTACATCGGTGTGCGCGGCGCATGCGCGCGGAGCGAGCACGCGGAGGGCCGGGCAAGCAGCGCCATGGCGGCGGCAGCCCCGCCGGTGGGGGCCGTTTGCTCCTTTTCCCCCCGCGATTGCCGCTTCTTCGCCATCTCCAGTTCGGATGGGCGCCTGCGGGTGTGGGAGACCGTGAACAGCCGCTTGCAGCATGAGTACGTGCCCTCCGCTCACCTCAGTGCTGCCTGTACTTGCTTGGCGTGGGCCCCGCCGGGGGGACGGCAGCCCCCCAATAAGGTACAGGTGAGTGCGTGAGGGAAGGAAGCGAGCGCGGTGGGATGCTGAGGTAAAGGAAGGAACGGTGGAGCCGTGAGTGGCTCTGACGCGTGACCGCGGCCCGCTCGGCTTCACCCCGCCCTCCCGGCGCCATGTGGCAGGGGTCGGCGTGGCCGGGCAGTGGAGATGCGGTGGATGGGTGCCGGGAACACTGAGTGGTCAGGGTTGGAAGGGACCTCTGGAGATTATCCGGTCCAGCTTCTCCTGCTAAGGCAGGGCCACCCAGAGCAGGTTACACAGGAGGGTTTTGGATGTCTCCAGAGAGGGAGACGTTACGACTTCCCTGGGCAGCCTGTTCCAGTGCTCTGCCACCCTCAGCATAAAATTCTTCTTCATCTGTTTTAGTTTATGGCCATTGCACCCCGTCCTGCCGCTGGACACCACTGAAAAGAGCCCGGCACCATCCTCCTGGCACCCACCTTTGCGATACTTGCATGTATTAATGAGATCCCCTCAGTCTTCTCCAGACTAAACAGGCCCAGTTTCCACAATCTCTCTTCAATAAGAGAGATGCTCCAGACCTCCTGTGGCCTCCACTGGACCCTCTCCAGTAGCTCCTTGTCTGTTCTTATACTGAGGAGCCCACAACTGGAGGCAGTGCTCTACGTGTGGCCTCACCAGGGTCGAGTATGGGGTTCAGGTCTTAGGGACAAGCGTGGGGTTCCTCAAGGTTCAGTCAGGGCACCCTGCCGAAGGTGCTGGGCATGTTTATGCCTGATGTCCCCTGGTGTGTCTGGGGGGTGCTTGGGGGCTCTGCTCCCCTCAGAGGAGCCTTGCAGCATCAGTCCTCACAAGGCAGGTTTCACGTGGTGGGGGAAGCAGCACTGGAGGTTTTAGTATTATTATTAAAAAAAGGGGGGGGCAGTGTGCCTGTTAGCAGAAGCTGTGACTGTAAAATCATTTATCTTCTGTATAACCTGCATGGAAGAAGCCGTCCTTGAAGGAGCAAGGTATGTTACTTCATGGCATATCTCACCTTATTCAAAAAGGATGCTGCAGAGCAGGTTGGCTGCTGTGCATATCCACTTAGCTTACAGTTCACATTCCAGTAAAGGCAGTGTCTCTCCATACTTCCTTACCCTTGGAAGCATCTGCATTCAAGCTGCTATGCTGCCTGTGATGGATCTTCTCAAGCTCAGGAGTCCTGTGAGAAGGTTGGTGGCTTTATTCAGAGCACACGTTGGAGGGCTTGAATGCTCTCTACCTTGAGTTTGTCTTTTTAACTTCACCTCAGGTGAACACTCAACCTGAAAATATCTATAGTGTATATAGTAAGGTACATTTTCACCTTCTTTGTGTTGAAGTAATCCTATTTTCTTTAGTTAGGACATTTATTTTTTCTCAGGAAATGGTATCCTTTGGATAAAGTGTGTGAAATCCACCACCCCTTTATCATAAGATGTAGGGAGGGCTTTTAAAGATGATTTTTGGTATATTTGAAATGCTGTAAGAGATGTTTCAGAACACTCAGCACAGACTGCCAGTCCAGAAGAAATCAATATAATCTCTTTTTTTCTCAGTTGAGCATCTTAGTCGCTGAACTCTGAAAACTCCCATAACATTTGAAGAATGCTGCAGAAAAGGTCAGTTTTAGACTGGCCTTAACCTGTTCATTCATCACGTAACTTTGAATAAAAAAGGATCTGTGCATTAACTGCAGGGCTGTGTAGGTGGTTCTTCAGTGTTAAATACCTGTAACTGAGGGTTAATCCATCCTGTGTGAAATAAAACTAAAAGCTTATATAGTGCACTGCTGTGGTGCTCTAAATCAAGCACAGGAGGATTCTGAGTGACTTTTAAAAGCTAACCCTTTCCTAGAGACCCACCCCTAAACCCCACAGATGCTCCAGTTTAACCTGATTTAGGGTTGTATGGAAAATGGACTTGATCAGACAGCATTTGGCTACCTTTCAGTGCTCTTATATTATTCTAGTAGCTTGAATGTTCTCCCCTGAATGAAAGCTGGTATGTTTTCAAATACAGCTGGAAACATACCAGTTCTTGGGATAATTATGCCATAAACTTTTATAAGTCATTGGTTTGTTCTTATACTGAACTGAAGAACTAAAGCTGTGATGGTTCTGCAAATACATTTTATTCAGTGTGGGTTTTCTGACATTAGTCTTGGTTTTCCTTTTTTTAATTCCTGGAGAGTTGGCATCTCTGGGCAGTACTAGCATCTGATCTTCAGGAGTAAAACTATGCCACCAGATATCTGTAAATGGTGTTTGGCCAAATTACACCTAATCTAAGTATGTTTTGGGTTGCTACCATGTTAATGAAGGCCATGTGTTACATGGAAATATTAGGAATTCAGTTTTGAGCTGCAGGCCCTGGAATTGCTGATGCAGTGGTGGCTTATTGGGATGTTCCCTGCACACATGCTTTTGTAGTGTCAGTACTTCCTGCCTGCAGTGTTCACCTCTTCCTGCTCCGTGAAGTAGTGCCTTGTGGAAGAGTATGTGGACCACCAGACTTTCAAAATACCTTCTTCCACTTTCTCCCTATTAAATTGCAACTGTTCTGTCATCTAGAGCTCTCAAGATTCTTTAGGCTTCCCACCCATTTCAGTGTGTTAAGTGCTTTCCTTCACGTGTGGCAGCAGAGATTGGATTTCTGGTTTGGTTTGTTTTTTTTAAGTCTCAGTGGCTGACCTACTCGAGAACATTATAGACAAATGAGTGCACAATCCTTTTCCAAACAGCCTCTCGTAGTCATCTCTACTAATTAAAACTCTGCTTTTCAGGCAAAGGATTTCTAAATAAGCTTGAGTTCAAATCAATCTGAACAAAAGTAACTAAAAGGAAGTTGGTACTTGGTATAGTTCAGCTTGCCTGTCCTACCCATGAATAAAGGGTGCAACAGTGGACTTGAGTGGGAATTTTGTTGTACCTCTGGGTTGTTCCAAGGGAAGTTGACCATAAACTGAAATGGAGGGTGAACAAGTTTTAGTTAAAAGATTTATGTAAGGAAAAAGAATAAAACCTGTTCTTAACTGTGGCTTTGCTTTGCAGTGGGGGTGTGTGGGATAGTCAGTAAAACTGTATGAAGAGATGGAGAGCTACCAGAAATCATATAAACTGTATTATGTACTTACACCTCCACTGGCTATGTGGCACTTGTCTTTGCATGTCGGACAGCAGTTTCAAGGTGGCTTAGATGGCATTGCTGCCAGAAATTTAGCCAGTTGAGTCTTTTCTCATAGATTGTCTTAAAACCTGGTTGATTTACTTGGTTGTGCATCATGACTGCGATGGTTTCTCAGCATCTATGTTTTTGTAGTATCTTCATAAACACTTTTCTTTCCCAGGAAAGGTGAAGACTAAACAAATGCTTGCAAAACCCCCAATGTAATCTCTTTTCTCAAGAGCTTGCTTTTGAGGTAAAAGTATCTATGTAGCATTTTGGTATTTATTGGCCTAAACTAAAGCACTTTTCCTTGCAGAAGATGTGTTAAATGCAGAGGAGAAGAAAGTCCCCCTTCAAAGAACCAAAGTATTTACCCTCCTGTGTTTAACTTTTAAATCTTAGTTGTGGTGAAAACTCCTAAATCTCTGGACCTGACTAAAAATTACTCACTGTGTGATGTCTGCTGTATGACAGATTAGCTGCACCACATGGAGCTTGCACAGAGCTGATTGCTCACATTTTATCAGACTCCTTTGGCTTCTTCTGGCTGCTCATCAGTGCAAATATGTCTGTTGCTTAGAGGAAGTGTTAGCTTGTGGATATGTATTTGTTTTTAAATCTGGAGAGCATGCCTTCCTGTCCTCTGCAGAGCAGGATAGCACTTTCTTGTTGAGGCATTATGAATACTTCGTATTTGCAAGAGTTTTCTGAATAGCTTTTGGGAAAAACCTCATAATTCTTGATCAACTCTTCCATTTTCTGGGTAAAGTATTGAGATTATGTTAATCTTTACCTCTGCCTCTGGGATATGAAGTCTATGAGAAACTTAACTGTTTTTTCCCTTCATGTATGTCATCACTAGGCTAGCAAAATGGCCTCCACCAAATGTTTCTAGGTGACTCATAGCACTTGGATACCTTGCTCATGGAGGTACCAGTTGAGTCTCTAGGTTGGTGTGCACTTCAGTGTCTTCAGTTTGTGTCTTGGCAGAGTTTGTGCTGGCTGACTGGGTTTCAGACTTAGAGAAGATTTTTTTCCCTTCTGCTTTAACACTGAGAGTAGCTGGTCAGACTAATTTATTTCATCTTTTGTTTTTATTTTTGATTTTCCAGGATGGTCCACAGAGGAAAAAACGGAAGTCTGAAGTTGCAGAAGTGGACAGGCAATTAGATATCCTGGCTGTTGGTACAGCAGTTGGTAGCATTTTGTTGTACAGCACAGTAAAAGGAGAACTACAGAGCAAGCTAGTAAGTAATACACTTTTCATCACATGCTACCAAATACTGATGGTTTCAGTCAGTTTATGCTGTTCTTTCTGCTGCTCAAAAATAGAATAAACTAACCTAATTACATGTGTCTTTTTCTTAATAGCTGTGTATATCGATAGAGGTGCACTAATTCAGGTGCTTGGGAATCTTCAAGTGGTGCTTTTCTTTGTTGGCAGTATGTATGCATTGAGAAATCTTGGGTTTGAAGTTAATGTGCTATCTTAACATTGTACCATTGTGCACGGATTTGTTATGTGTCATTCAAATTAGCAGCAATGATGCAATGCCTAACTGGAGAGTTAAGCGCGCTGTGGAAGTGTCATGCTCTCAGTTCCTGCACAGTACTGTGGGAGAGGAGGGCAGGACTGAAGTACCCATTGATTCTTGGGAAGTTGTCATGTTGATGGACTGAGATGTGCTCGTTTTCATTCTTCCTTTCTCATTGAGAGCTTCCCTGTTAGTCCTGAGCACTTTGGTTTTAGTCTTGGGTTATGTACTAAACAAAATAAATCTGTATGAATGACTCTGTGCAATACTTTGAGGTACTTGCACATACTTTTGCTTCTAAGCTGTTAGTTGTATGTAGGATGATAAATGTACGTGAATTTAGGGAAAGCAATGACTTCTTAAAATCATGATACATGCAGGTGACACTAGCTAATGAGTATCAACTGTTTTATGGAAAAGCTGTATTTATGCTTGAAAACTATGAAGAAATACGAGTTTCAGGTGAAAACACTGGCTGCTCTTTTATAGGAGCAGCGTATCAGATGAGTACTTCATTTTTTACAGATAGGTTGAACAAGAAGATTATTCCTGCTAGCATAAGAGCTGTCACTTTTAGCTGCCCTTATTGAACAGATTGTTTTGCTGTGATGTATTTTGTCTTGCTCAAGGCTGATTTGCAGTGACACTTTAGGGAGCAGTCTGAGCTGGGTGGTGCCAATTCAAATAGTGAAATTTTATAAACTTCAGGAAATATTTTCATAAATGATTAAAAGGTATATTTGAGCTGGTTGTTGAGAGATGAATGATATGCCTTTGTAGGGTCTTCTCTTTCTTACAATAGTTTGCTCTTGAATGCTGGGTACAAAAGGAAGGCTGTTCACCTCTGAATGTACTTAAGCAAGCACGCACTTAGATGACTGTCCAGGTTTCAATTGTAACAGTTACTTTTCTTCCTAGTAGCTGGTGCAGGGCTGTGTTTTGGCTTTAGTCTGAGAACAATGCTGATAACGCGCTGATGTTTTAGTTGCTTATAAGTTATGCTTGCAAGGACTCTTCAGTCTCTCACGTTCTGCTAGGGAGGAGGGGCACAAGAAGCCAGGAGGGAGCAGAGACAGGACACCTGACCTGAACTAGCCAAAGGGGTATTCCATGCTACAACATGTCATGCCCAGTATAGAAACCAGGGGAGTCACCCAGAAGGGACCGATTACTGCTCGAGTCAGGCTAGGTATTGGTCAGTGGGTGGTGAACAGTTGTATTGTGCATCACTTGTGTTTTCTAAGCTTTCAATTCTTCTCTTGTTGTTTCTTATTACTAGCATTATTGTTATTGTTAGTATTCTTTCTATTATCTCTATGTTGTACTTTAGTTATTAAGCTGTTCTTATCTCAATTCTTCCCACTCTCCTCCCCATCCCACCTGGGAAGCGGGGAGGTGGTGAGCTAAGTGGCTGTGTGGTGCTGAGTTATTGGCTGGGGTTAAACCATGACAATGACTGTCAGCAAGACATCTGTGGTAGACTTTCATTTGAACAAATTTCCTGCTGTTAGACGGCCTTGTTTGGCTGTGTGTATAAAAATAGTGGGCAGGACGATTTTTGTGTTCATTCTGAAGTGCTAGAACAAAAATGAATTCAAATAGTTATGTGTCACTAATTCATATACTTAGGTGTATGTATCAAAACATGAAATATCTTTAACCTGTACAACTCTACATGTATATTGGTCTCTTAAGTTGCCAGTGGTCTGAATTTAGCTCTCAGCAGTTTGTTCACATTGCTAGTGTGGGGAAGACTCAATATTCAAGACTTCTTCATTTATTAATTAGTTGACCCTCTCTTACCTGTTGCAGGATGGTGGTCATGACAACAGAGTAAACTGTGTGAGATGGCATCAAGACACCTGCTGCTTGTATAGCTGTTCAGAGGACAAACACATTGTGGAATGGAACACACAGACCTGCAAAGTAAAGTGGTAAGTGGTGCTGGTTTTCAGTCAGATTTGTTCGCACTTGCTTTTGTGTATTTCCTCACTCACAGGTTTTAATGAGGGCCTGTTGGAAATTCTTCACTCTGCTATCCAGTCTTCGTGCCCCCTGCACAGAATTGACTATTGACTATTACTGTTCTGAGATTGGAAGTGGTTTTATTAAGGGATAAAAGAATAATTCTAGCAGGGTTTCTTCATTTGTGTATTGGAAAGACTAGATGAAAGGAGTTACTGCGCTGAGAGATTTGGGTCCCTCCATACTAACTGTTACTGGCACATGGGCTTCCAGTCACTTTTGTGATGCTGAAAAATCTAAATCCCAGAAAATATCCTTGGAGATGTGGGGGAGCAGATACTGGAACACCAAATTCCAATTAAATCAGTTACATGCACCCAGCTTCGCTCAAAAGGGCCTTGCTGTGATGATAACCCATTTGGTTTCGCTCACTACTAATGTGCAGTGAGGACAGTTCCACTTGGCTGTCTGAGCAGGCTGCTACTATTTACAGGGTTGAGCAAAATAGAGCTTAGTGCAAAGTAACAAGATGTCTGGTGAAGGCATTTACTTTCTTTCTGTAATGAAGTCTGAACTGTTTTTAAAGAAGCAGCAAAGATTTCTAGTAACAATCCTGGTTATACTACTTCAGTAAGAGCTTAGTGTATGATGGCACCTTGATCCTTCTCTTATGTTATTTCTTTTCTGTGACATTTCCCAGTGGTGTGTTATTCTTACTGCAGCTCTATTGGTTTGTTAAAGTTGGTGTGGGCACTTCAGACAGCCCATCATCAGTAGCCTCTGTGATTTCTCATAAAGAGAGATGCATCCTTGGGTTTTTATTAGGACCCTGACGTAAAGTAGAAGATGGCTTTAAAATCTCCCTCTAGCCTTCTCTTTTTAGGATTGAACACATCCAGTTGCTTCACCTTTTCCTCTTGCATTTCATGCTCTAGTCCCTCAACCGCCTTCATGGCCCTCCACTGGATTTACTCCAGGGTGTTAGTGATTTCTTCTACTCTCCCAAACTGGACATGGTGCTCAGATGCAGTTTCAAAAGTGTCGCACAGAGGAGAGAAATTGGTTTCCTTACTCATGTTCAACTCGGCCATGAGGACTGCAAACTTCTTTTCTACAAAGCTACTTTCTAGGTATTCATTCCCAGCCTGTACTGGGATATTTCCATCCTATGTGCAGGACAGTACATTTTCCTTTGAGCTCTGAGGTTTTGACAGCCTGTGTCATGGTTTAAACCTAGCCAGACAGCTCATTCACTTACTCTCCACCTTCTTGCCCTCCTCCTACTCCTGGAGGGACGGAGAGGAGAATCAGAAGAATGCAACTCCCACGGGTTGAGATAAGAACAGTTTAGTAACTGAGGTATAACACAGATCACTACTGCTACCACCAATAATAATAATGATAAAGGAAATAACAAGGGAAGAGAATACAGCACCTCACCACCAGCTGACTGATAACTTGCCCCCCCCCCGCCCCAGCCCGACCAAGCACCAACCCATACCTCATCCAACCCTGCAGTCCTAGCCCTTCTGGGTCCCTCCCAGTTACATCCTGGGCATGACATGCTGTGGTATGGAATACCTCTTTGGTCAGTTTGGGTCAGGTGTCCTGTGTCTGCTTCCTCCCAGCTTCCCCTCCTCCCTGACAGGGCATGAGGCTCACAAAGTCCTTGGCCAGACCAAAACATCAGTGTTATCAGCTCTGTTCCCAGGTCAAAAGTCAAAACACAGCACTGCACCAGCTACTGAGAAGGAGAAAAAATGACTGCTACTGCTGAACCCAGGACAGCCTGTTTCTCAAGACTGCTGAGATGTCCCTGGGTAGCAGCCCTGCCCTCCAGCATATCAACTGTTCTTCCTAATTTGCTATTGAATGTGAACTTGTTACGTGTGCATTCTTTCCTGTTTTGAGGTCATTAATGAAGATCTGGGCGATATTAAATAGTATTGGGATGTCCTTAGTGAGTGAGGCTAGAAACTGGCCCCTAGCTGGACTTCACAGCAGTGATCACAACTGTTTGAACTCAGTGTAGCTAGATCTTATCCCTCCTTGGAGTTCATTCATTCAGTCTATATATCTCCAATTTGGCTGCAAGGACACCATGTGAGACATTGTCAAAAGCCAAGATACATGGCATATGTGGCTCTCTTGTTCACTGGATGTCTGTCTCATTAGGAAGGCAGTCAGGCTGGCTAGGCAAAATTTGCCATTTGTAAATCTCTGCTGGATGCTCCTAGTCACTTTTTGACATTGTGTGCCTAGAAATGGCTTCCAGGTGGATTTGTTCTATAACCTTCCTGTTGTTTCCTGTATTCTCCTTCCTGTGGATATTTGTCTCTTCTCAAGTCATCAGAAATGTCTCCTGAGCTATGCGGCTCCTCAAAACAATAGTGTGGTCTTGTAATAGCTATGGCCTTAACAGTTCTGGATGCATCCTGTTCAGTCTTAAGGAGTTGCATGTCTTGGGCTTGCTATGATCCCTAATTTGATCTCTCTTTACTACGCAGATTGCTTTGCTCCCTCTGGCTCTAGTTTCATGGGAGGCCTGAGAGAATATGCTCTTCAGTGCTTTGGTCTTTTCTGTGTCTCTTCTATTCAGGAGGAGGCCTGCATTTTCCTCAGTCACTGTCTTACTCCTGCTGATATCCTTTTCTTGGCCTTCGTAGTCCCTGCTGGTTTGAACGCCAGCTAAGTTTTGGCTAATTCTGTCCCTGCATGTGTGGACAGTATATTCCTGTGTGTAACCTCTCTCCATTTCCCCCTTCTCTATATTTCTTTTTTTGTGTTTCTGAGTTGGGTTAGGAGTTACCCACTTGGGCAAGCCAGCCTTCTGCAATAGGTGGTAGTTTTCTGCTCACCTTCACCTATTTCAGAGGAAAACTCCATGCACTCATGCTGTCTTTTTGTGTGGAGAAACCTCTTTCCTTTTTACCTTCCTGGCATGTCCCTGCTGAAGTGCCTTCCTAAAGGTTCATTAATTGCATCTCTCTTGTTGTGAAGGCTATCCCAGTGTTTTTCTGTGATCCCAGCTCTGAAGCTGTGCAAGGAGATAGAATTCATCCTGTTGATATCCCATAGCATGTATGTTAGTGTACAGGTACTCGGGGTGGGTTGCAGTCATACTGCTTTGCTTTGTTTTAAGTAATAGAGAATTTGAAGTAGAAATTCGTATCAGAATAGGCAAATAAAAAGTAAGTTGCCAGTTGTTCAGTATAAAATAACTTCGTATTTTTGAGTTGCTGTGTTTTTCTGTAAACTAATTTGAAGGAGAGGAGCAGAAACAGAATACCTTTGACCTCATCTTTGACCACCTAAATTAGTATTCCTTAAAATAATTTTTGCCTTAAATTGTTCAGCGTGGTTGTTATGCATTTTGAGATGATGTTAATGAGTATTGTTTCTTCCTGTTTCTCCATCTTTCTCCCTTTGTACAACACCTCCATCCATATTCTAGCAAGTGGAAAGGTGACAATAGCAGTGTCACCTCTTTATGCATTAGTCCAGATGGGAAAATGCTGCTGTCAGCTGGTAGAACTATAAAACTGTGGGACCTGGAGACCAAAGAAGTCTACAGAGTAAGTAACTTTGTTGAATTAGATGCAAAAAAATACCCTCCTTGATTGATGCCATTATGTATCTGGTGTTTCCTGGTAGGACATCTGAAAATGTCAGTAAGTTTGAGGAAACAACTGGCAATTTCGGGGTTTCTGGAAGCTGTTGCTGTGATGATACCTTCAATTGTGGTTTCAACTTGCTGAGTGTTGAATGAAGACATTAAATTCCTTGGCTGTGTCTGAGCATGCTTCCAGCACCCCTTCTAAAGCCTGTACCAGAAAGATGGATGCTGTTCTCTTTTCACTGGGTCCTTTTCTGATATCCTAGCAGGGGAACTCAGTTCGCCACAGTATTAGTTACTGCTGGTGTGGGTTTGTGCATGAGCTATCTGATACTAAACATCAGTTCCTCCTTCAGGTTTCTTTGGTAAATTTCATGTATCTGGTGGCATTATCAGTTTTGCTGTTAAAACAGTTGGCAGGCATAGGGGCAAACCCCTTGATGTTCCTGAGCAGGGATCAGACATGAGCAGATTACTGTGTTTTAACTGTTACGTGGACACGGCCATGGTCTCTTGCCTGCTAGCAGGTAGGACACAGCTAGTCTCTGATCTCGTACTTGCTGTCAGGTTGGTGTGTGCACATGTGCTGTTACTCTGGACTGGCTGGCACACGGCAGTTATCATTTATGTTTGCATCCTGTGATAACCAAAACTGCTGTTTACAAAAGTAGATTGAAGAGCAAGAGTTTTTTTTGGGGAGTTGTAGTTGTGTTGAACAGCATCAGTGTGTCAGCAGACCAGTGCATTCATCTCACAGTGAGAATGCAACTAGGTGTCTAATTTCAGTATAAAAGTTGAAGTGTAAAAGGTGGTAGCGGGGGAGTGCATTCAACACTTAAGAGCAGTACAGGTGGATGCAATTTCTTTTGCGTGAGCTTAGTCCCAGTAAATTTGCTTTTGATTCCTCCTTTAACTTTTAAAATTCTGAAAAATATCTGGGGGGGTCAGAAAAAAAATCCTTGAAATACAGAAATGGAGGGAAGTTGGTAAAAAAGTCACTGAAATGTCCTTGTTGACTTAGCAACACTTGAATCTTTCCTAATGTTGTGTGTAAACTAATGTGTTCATTTTTGTCATATGGCTGCTTATGGCAATTATTGAAAGATTCTTTTTTTCCCCCCCCTCTTAGCATTTCACAGGCCATGCTACATCAGTGTCATCATTAACGTTTACCACAGTGAAACCTATGAATGAAAATAAGCCCTTTGATGGAATTACAGGGCTTTATTTCTTGTCTGGAGCCATACATGACCGATTACTGAGTGTATGGTATGTAAGATTTTTTGCACCTTTTGATTATGATCTGTATTGAGGATGTTCCGAAATCTGTGATTAAACAGAAGGTTAAGTAGAAAAGGGACACTCTGGAAAAACACAGTGATGATCTCTTAAATAGTGCTTTAAACTCTGATTGTTTAATGAAGATGTGAATTGTCTGTGTCTGTTTCCATTTGCTGTTTGAATCGCTAGTGTATACCAAGAGCATACTGTGTGGTAGGCTTCCTTGTTCTTAGTACTTACTGTAACGTTTAAGCTAAGTTGTTCTGCTAAATTTCACTTGGGAGTTACTTTGCACTTGGAATTTAGAACACTTTTCCTAAGCTGAAATCTGAAATTACGGCATAAGTAATGCTGCTGGTGATTTATAGGCTTTATGCTGCTTCTTAGGGGCAGAGGGTGCTGTTTGTGCCATGGTAAATAATGTGAACTGTATTGTCTTTCAGGCAGGTCAGATCAGATAGTAAAGAAAAGAATGCCGTGATGTCTTTCACAGTAACAGATGAACCAATTTTTATTGACCTGACTGTATCAGAAGTCAAAGAAGAGGTAGGAGCAATAGTTTATAACCAAACACATTCAACAATTCTCAGTTGTCAAGTCAGTTTCCTTTTAAGGGTATAAAGAAAGAAGTTTGGTAAGTATTTGGGTTCTGTTATGCAGAGATGAGATTCGAATGGGAGTAAGGGTATTTATTACAGGTGTATTTATAAAGCGGATAGCTATTAAGTGTGAATTCGGTGTTTTCTCCAGAAATTTTGCTTGTGATGGCAGAAGCGTCAGTTGTTTCCTCTTTAGAACAAGGCTAAAAAATGGTAGTTAGAACTTGGCAGCAAAAAGGACAGGGAAAAAAATCTTTCAGAAAATCCAGTTTGGGTATGGTCCTGTTTTTTTTCTGACCTCAGGTGGCTTTGGCAGCATGACTGCGTTTTAAAATGACTAGCTTTTAATGAGTTAAAGTAGCAGCATACATTCCCCAGCTCTCTATATTTCAGCAAGTACAAGTCTTTCAAGGCAGTTTTCTTATGAAAAATGTTAGTGTGTGAAACCCATTTACACAGTGTTTCAGTAATTATGTAAACCATTTTTCTCCTGCTGCCTTTAGATTCCTGTTCTAAAAGCAGTGTTTCATGCTGTTTTTTCTGATGTTCCCAGTTGTGCCTTCTTACTGCAGGTATTGGAGTTAAGAGATGTCTGTAACATACACCTGTCATTTAATTGCTCAGGGAACTCATCTCAGTTTCTTTCCTCTAAGCGTATTTACAATGTCAGCACCTCTGTAGACCCATGCCTCTAGACATATTAGGTGCCTTATTTATGGAACTTTGCTGCTTACCATGACATGTGTCTGCTACTGTGCAGACTGTTCAAATTTGGTTATATCAGCAGTGATACAGTAAAATACAGTTATGAGTTACTTTTTTTGTCTCCTGACAGTTGTAGTAAATGTTCCTGAGATGTAGTGTCTTTGATCTTCCTTATGGATTTAGTTTTATCTTTAATGTGTTTAGTTACTGAAAAAAGTCAAATCGTAGCCATGCAACTGTTTCTGCATGTCCTGTACGTCCAGGAAGTTTGTCTTTTGATCTAATAAAAATCTTTCACTGTGCCTTCTTTCAGCCTGTGAAGTTAGCAGTTGTTTGCCGAGATGGGCAGTTGCATTTATTTGAGCATATCTTAAATGGGTAAGTTAGCATTCATCTTGAGGGTGTCTTTGGGGGCGAGAGCTGGGATTACTGTAAGGCAAAATTTAGTCTTTCCATGCTGCTGCCTTTGAGCCATTGTATTTGTTCACAAATCAGCTTCCAGCTGGTTCTTTGTCTTGGGATACTTAGTTGTTGGGGGCTGTGCTGAACATCAGTAGGAAGTGTTGCTTTAGCCAAGATTTTGTCTGTGTACCTCATCTTAGCCAGTTGTAAAAGGTGTAAACCAGCTAAGTTTGCTGAGGACCTGCTGACAAAAGGTGCTTGCTTAAATGTGTGAGATATTGAAGTGTTTAAGTTTTAAGGGAATTCAGAAGAATTCACTTGGAATTCTTTTCTTTTTTATTTTTTTTTTCTCCTTCCAGTTACTGCAAAAAACCCTTAACATCAAACTGTACTATCCAGATAGCAACGCCTGGAAATGATGGGGACTCCACACCAAAACCAGTCCCTATTCTGGCAGCTGCATTTTGCTCAGACAAACAGTCTCTGCTGCTTGTGTATGGAAACACCTTACAGCCCATCATAGAGAAAGTGGTATGTAAAACAGACTGGAAAGGTTTTGGGGTTTGTAATATGGACTGTGTACTGCTCTCAATGGGAGGGATTGTTTTTACTTTACAAGTTGTGGTAACAAGGCAAAACTTACTCTTTCTCCCTCTTCTGGGAGCTATGACTGTTGCCCCTGAGCTGTTCTAAAAGGTAATTTGTATTCTTCCATTCTTTCAGTTAAAATACAGCTTGACATTATTGTTGGCTGTTTCTTGCCATTTCAGCTGTTTCAATCAAAACCATTGAAACTGCTTTTAATACTGTTTCGGTGTACCTGTGTGATGCTCTTTGGAGAGCATAGAGATCTGGTAACAAGAGACAGGTGTGCAAAGCAGCTGCTGTTCTAGAGTGAAAAAAGTTATTTCTACTTTATAGCTTCAGAATTTGTTCTCATCTTTCAGTAGCATAATGAATCACAGGAGTGAATCTTAAATATGTTAACTGCTTTTGTTCATGTCCTTCTAGTCTTTAAACACCATGGAATCCCATATATGTTTGATAAGGGACATCCAGAAAGTGTTGTCACTTAAAACAGATGTTGCCCTAACAAAGGTGAGTTTTGTGTGAAATGTGATTTTGTTGCTTCTCTTGTTTACTTTGGAAATGGTAGAATTCATTGCTGTATTTTAAAATGAGGTTGGATTTCTGGATGGACCTGCTCAGAGCTGCAGTGGTAGATAGAGATGTCTGTAGCACTCGAGCAGGTGTGGGTAAACTGCGCTTCATGGCTGCTGTGTGTCCTAGTGTGCTCTCACACAGTTGCCATCCTATAGCTCATAGCAAGTCCTGTTCTTAGCAGGTCTGCCTGATAGACAATACTGACTGATGGTTTCTCTTCTGCCTGAGATCAGTTCTTCCCCTAGAATCTGTCAATGTGTACACCCTCTTCGACCCTGATGATTTGGGGTGAGGTTGGGATGGCCTTTGTTTTAGAGCCTAAATAAAATGAAACTAGGCCTTAAAGGCGATGTCCTTTTGGCTCTTTCTCGAGGTGGCCTTCATGTGTTCCTACTCACAGGGTTATGGCACCTGGGAATGTGGGCTAGACACTTAAATGGCAGCAGTGCCCACTGGGGCCACTTGCCACTGTTTTCTCTCATGCCGGCTCCCCTGGGGGTTTAGAGATAGACTGTGAAGTTCTTAATCAGTGTGCAAATTCCATGCCTTGAAGATTTGCAAACGCCTTCTGTATTCATGAAGTGAGCAGACAGCGCTGCTTTTCTAACCCTCAAGGTACCTACTGGATCTGGTGCTCCATCAGCCAAGCGGGACTTTGTGCTGATTCCTCAGTCCTGGAGCTGGTGGGTAGCAGAGCTGAAATACAGCGAGAGGTGTAGGAACTCCCTGGCATGCAGTGATGATGCCCATCTTGGTTTCGCTTTTTGCTGAATTCCAGTGAAGACGCATTTCTCTTGGCTGTCTGAGCATGCCTTGTGGAGAGAAAGTCAGCGGTCAGTGTGGTGAGCAAAGAGGGTAGCATTCAATGCCATTGCTGTTCTACAGGAAAATTCTTGAGCTACAAAACCAATTTATTATTATTACTATTTTTTACTTCTACACACAGCATCTGGAAGTTGGTTTGCTCACTGTAGTAGATTATATTTGTTTTGCTTCAGTGGGCATCCAGCATGCCTCCCACAGGTACTTGTTACATTGTGCTGCTATTCGTGATCAGTTCTTATCTTTCAGTAGAAGCTGGATTAATCTGCATGCGGTGTAGGGGCCTGACTATTAATACATGTGGTATCTATTGCTAGCAAAGATACAAATATTTGTTGTTGGATACAAGCACATGGTTTGAGTGTTGTAAGAAGAATGATTCACAGGTGATTCCAGTGAGACAGTTGCTTTAGTTAAATTATGAAAACTACCTGACTTGTTTGACATTATTAATTACTCTTAAAAATGTAGGATTTAACTAATATGTATATCAAGGAAATGGGTTGTAATAGGCTGGGTTTACTGTGTATGTGAGAGACTGGGATTAAAATCACTGTTTTTAAATTGGAAGCAAGCTCAAGATACTAGCAATTGATGCAAAATGTGGTTATCTCCGTCTACTAGGTAAAAACGCCTGTTGTGAACTCGGACGCCAAAGTGCTAGTGCCTGGTATTCCAGGACATAGTACAGCTGTCAAAACTCCAGCCTCAGGAAAGGAGAAAAAGAAAAACAAGAGGAAACCAGGAGAGACAGGGGTAAAGTGCTTCCTCTATTGAAGACAACAGTAATAGAGAAACTAGAATCGTAAATCACTGTTACAACTTCTTTAGATGAAACTGAGCTCGCTTTGTTTGGCATGGAAGCAAGCTTGGTGATACCTTTTTGCATGAAAGTAACTTCCCTCTGCTCAAAACCTTTCCCTCATTTAAGCCCTGGGTGCCTTGCCTGTAGTTTTGCCATGTTTCTGCAAAACTTTGTCCCAGGCTTGTGTCTGTCTCTGTGGGCTAAGGTATATTGCTGCTTTTCAGTCAGAACTTCTTCTCAGGCTGTTCTCTCCCAGTACAAAATTGGTGTTATTTTCCAACAGAAACCTGTTGGAAATCCTCAATTTCAACAGAGGGAATGCTGTAGTTTAAGTACTTAGTACTTAGTTTCTGAGAAACTGCACTTAAACAGCACTGCCCATTTTTGTCTGCAGGAAAGCATTGAAGAGCGCTTAGAGGCATTGGATATTGATGTGAGCAAAGTCAAAACTCCAGGTGGCCTTCCACAAACAGATAGCTTCGCGGTACTTTTGGTTCAGGGCTTGGAAAGCAACGATGCAGAAATCCTAAATGTAAGTGTTACGAAATCATTGTATGCTGTTTAATCTGTTCACTGAGACTTGTGAGTAGCCTTCCTGAAAGTTGGCGAGGCTGAATAGTCAAGAACCTGTTGTTTGTCCCAGCTGCTTTTTGCTGAGTTGCTGCTCAAGGCAGTGATATTATAGACGGTGATAGTGGTATTACTTTTTTTGTTGTCACCTACCTTATGTTCTGAGTCAGTTCATGCTTAGTCTCCTGAGTGTACAGTTCCCAAGTAGATACTGTCTGGAAAATGCATTTATGTCAATAGTTTTACTTGAGAAGCTTATAGTTGCACTTATACTAGGAGAAAAATAATAGTTCAGGAGCAGGAAAATAAAATCTTAAGAATTTGGTGCTAAATAGAAATGTCACAGATACTGGTGAAAGGCATTTATTTACAGAAGTCAAGCACAGAAAACAGTAAAGGAAACTTTAATGTGTTCTGATGCTTCGCTGACGCTGATGCTTTTCTAACATGGGGTGGGCTAGAGGCAATGCTAGATTGTTTTGGTTAATCACGTGTTTTGTTAATTGTAGCTGACTTGAAAAATGGAACTCCTTTTCATAGTAAATCTTCTTTTACTCATAATCCTCATTTTAGTGTACAAAGGTAGTGGAGTAGAAAAAGATTTAAAGCCAGGAATTTTTGATTGTGCTCATTGCTCATATACATGTTCAAACTGACTGATTCTCTGATCATGTTTTTGCATTTTAACAGAGAGTGCTTAACACAAGAAAAGATAATGTAATAAAGAACACAGTATCCAGAATGCCTATACATGCTGTCATTCCACTACTACATGAGGTAGGAGAGTGTGTTTCTTGTATGTTGTACCAGCTACGATTGGTATGCAATCTAGTTGGGGAAAATCCAGGATATGTCTCTCTATTTTTGGCTATTAAGTTGGTTTGGTAGTTTTACAGGACAGAAATTATTCCTAATTTCTCTCTAATAGGCTCTTTTCTGGCTGAAGCTTAACCAAAGGACAAAGTGTCACTGTGGAAGCTAGGGAGAGCATTAGGTCATGTGATATTATATTAAATGATTATGTGAGGAAAAAGAAAAAGAAGAGGTAAGGATAAAGCTTGTTTAGTCCGTGGCAAGCAATTAGCATTGCATCTTTTTTTAAAACTATTAAAATGAACACTAATTTGAAACATGAAAATAGCAGTGCTAGCGAGAACAAGTTATATGAGCAATATGCTAGATACTCATATGAGAGAAAGAGAAATAGAATATGTACTTCAGTGAGTTTAGATAGCACTTTGAAATTGAGGAGCAGTTTCTTTCCTCCTTTGAAGATAGCTCAGGTGGCCAGTTGCTATTTTTAAGCTTTGTGACATCACTTAGTAATAATTTTTAACGGAATTTGGCTTGTGAACTGCTTATTCAGTGATATTAAGTGTTCGACTCTAATCTCAGTGGATGGACAAGCCCTCATGTGACTGTCTTCTGCAGAGCTTGAGATTTATTCTGTGAAATAGCCTTTACCTGATACTACCTTCACTTGTTTCCCCAACTTGTCTACCTTGTCTCAGCTGCTCTACTGAGCAGATATGCAGAGACATAAGCATGGGGGGATTTTCCTTCACTTGCTCCTGCCAGCTTTAAGTTTCACTGGATATATTGCCTGTTGAGTTCTGCATTTATTGTAATAACGAAGCTCAACTTCTGCAAGTCATCAGCCTGTGTATATAGAGCCAGCAATGTAATACTCTGGGGCTTGACAATCATTAACGTTAGCAGGCTTCAACTGCCTGGAGATATTTCTACCCCAGTATTGGGGCTGTCACATGGATTTAATGCTGTGTTGTGGTTTTTTTTTTAAACTCCCTATGTGTTATTTACTACTGACTATTTTTGTTCTTCTAGCTTACAAAAAGATTGCAAGGCAACCCATACAGGTAAGAGACAACTCAACTACAGTGTAATTCACATTAAACATTTCTAATGCGTGCATTATGCTCTTTCCCTCCACCTATGTGACTGATGTCCATAGTAACTGTAATTAAACTGCAGCATCTTGAGGGAAAAATTCTCAGCTGATTTGGGTGCAGAGAGGAACTTTTATTAAGGCAGCAGCATGGCTGAAGTGAAATTAAAAAGAAAATGGTATCTAAAATAAGCATATAACTCTTGAGAATGTATCTGAAAGCCCTAAATATCAACACTGTGAACCTGATCAGTATCTGACAAAGTAACTATTTGATGTATAGCTTTTTTGGTTTGATTTTCAAATATATTTAGAAATCTCGTGGTGGTGTGTTTAATGACAAAACCAGCCTCCTTCCACTCATCTTGTCATATTGCTGTAAGGATAGTTTTGCAGAGACTAGCTGTCCTCAAGAGTTTCGTTTGGTTTGGTTTGATTCAACAAAAATTCCCTCTTTGTAGGTGGAGAAAAAAAGTATTATGCCTTGATCTTTCATTCATTGACGCCTCCTGTAAAACATGTCAGAAACACAGACCCCTGAACACGTGTAGTTTAATCCTCACTTAAAAGTCTGGGTCTTTCCAAACAAATAACTTAGATAGGTATCTTATCTGGATAGACAAACTGTTGCGTTTCTGCCTGAATTTATCTTTTTACCATAATGAAAGAGGAGCACTTTTTATAGAACTGTTTAACATGTAGAAGGTGAATCTGGTGTTTCTCTGCCAATATCTCTTTGATATTGTTTATTTTTCTTTTCCAGTGCCTCCCTAATGGTTCGATGGCTGAAGTCTGTTTTTACTATACATGCATCCTACCTTTCCACAGTAAGTATTCTGCATTAATGCTAGTGCACATAACTAGAACTAGACTTAAATGCTTGAATAAATCTGTGTTCTTCCTCTGGGAATCTGTTTCCTGCTCTCCATATATGGCAGTGCCCAAATCAGTGTACAGAGTTCAGTGTACTTCTGCCACTTCTGCTTAATTGCTGCACACTGGTTATAAATTGTTTGCCTTGATCATTCAGGGCATAGTTATAGTCATTCCAAAGTCAAACCAAGATAAGTTGTGTCATACCTGTGAGGTTGGGGAAAAAATTAATGTTGGAGAGTGATTTGGCCTGTGTCACTAAGTCTTTTAGAACTAAATTGCCTTGCTGTTGTAATGCTCATCTTGAGACTGTCTTAGGCATGGCTGTGGGGTAATGGTGTGCCAAAGTTGTTAGCGTAGTAAGTAATGTTGTAGCTTCTGGTCCAGCCTTGTCTTACAAGGGATGGATAAAGCACTCTTGTTCAGTTAAGAAAAAGGCATTTTAGCATTGTTAGTCCTTTCCATTTAATGCAATTTTGTGGTGTGTCAGAACTTGCACACCTTGCGGAGGCTGCATTCATACATTGGTGTATATCCAGTTCTCATTTACACAGCTTTCCAAATGGTGCTCTGACACCTGCTTATGGCAGTGACTGTGGAAAGGAAGAGGAATGGAATTGCCATGTTTTGAAAGTAGATGATGTTTCTAAACATGTCTAAATGTTAACTGATCAGGCTGCAGGTGGTTTCTGTGAACCCTCAGCTCTCCCTTCTGTCTTGAAGAATGTGAGCAAGGATTGCTTGCTCCAGAAGTACAAAGATAGTTTAAAAGTAAGGTGTTTGTGGTGGTGTTAACAGCTTCATTTTTCTTCATCCTTTTCTTCTCCCAAGTTGCCAGACCTTATTCCTCAGCTGGGAATGCTATACCAGCTAATGGAGAGCAGAGTAAAAACTTTGCAAAAACTTTCCCGTCTGCATGGAAGACTGTTCATTCTTGTCACCCAGGTAAGTTACAGCTAAATAACATAGGTTGTGCAGGAGAGGTATTATTTGCAGGCTTAACCTCCCTCCTATGATTGCATCCAGTGGCACTGGTCATCAGGAACTTAATCCAGGTGCTATACAGCTATGCTGGTAACAGTTGAAGCAGTACACTTAGTTGACTGTCTAGTCAGTCAGTGCTCACTGGAAGTGTTACACACATTTTTGCTGCCAAGTGTGTCTACTAGCCCATAGATTTTTAGAGGGGAATAAACAGGAGGTACTGGGCTGCTTCAGAACAGATATCTCTAAAATTTTGCTTTGTCCTTTGTATTTGTCTGTTCAACTACTACTATAAATGAATTCATGTGTGTTAAACTTGATGTAGACTTCATTTAAACATTGTTATGAGTTTTGCTGACTTTTAAGGTTGGAATATGTAACTGCATCTAAGGCTAATCTGCAAATTCTATTCAGGTTGCAGCATCGGAAGCAGTTCAGGATGTCACTGAGATGAATCAGACTGCAAAGCTGGTATATGAGGATGGTAAGTCTTGGATACCAGGTGGAGCTCAGCTCCTGAACTCACATGGCAGCTGATACATGATGGCTGTTCATCATGATCCTGTGCTTATCCACTAGTGTAATATCTGCGAGGAGAGTTTCTGTGGCAATTCCGTGGCAGGAAAATCAGTGGTTAATGATGTGAGCAGCTTGTAGTTGGTTGTTCCCATGCCTTCTTTTTTTCTTCTGTTTCCTCCCATTTCTGCTTCAAACATTAAGGAATCGGTTAATTGGAAGTTTCGTATGCTGCTTAATGTAACTGGCAACCTCACGTTTTTAGTGTTAGCTGCCCTTCTGCTAAGGTAGATATGGTCAAGGTACTTTTATGTTTGCAGTAAATGTAAGTGTATGTGCAAGTGTGCACTTCCAATTTGGCCTGTTTTTCTACTACAGCTTCATACAGTATATTCATAATGGAAGTGACTTGTTCCTGATTCTTGTTGATCAGCCTAATCTTCAGATAGGATTAGTTTTGGAATTGAAATAGCACAGTTTGGAGACTTAACAGCATGTGGGGTTGGGCTTTGTTTGCAAAATGACATTTTAAAGTCTGTTGTCCAGACTGAAGGAAAGCTTTCTCTTTGCAGAATCCTCAGAGGAAGAAGGCTCAGATGATGAGATGATTGCAGATAAGGAGTCTGATGTAAGTGGAGTTGGATCAGGTCTTCTCCCGTTTGCTTGTAGCAGAAGAAATAGTGTGACTGTCAAAGGTTCAAACATTCCTATTTATTTTTTTCCCCAGGAAAACTGGGATGAAGACGAAGAAAAAGCGGAGCAATCTGATGAACAAGACATGACTGTTGAAAAGGAAATCAATGGTGATTCTGATTTGGAACCAGAAAATGAAAGTGAAGAAGAATAACAGCACAGAAGGATGATTTTAACAGTTTAAACAAGTGGGCCACCAAACTCTTAATTCTGGATCATCTTGCGGAAAGATGCCATATTTGCATATTGGGAGTGCAGACTTGTGCACAGCCTATGTGCAGAGGCACCTGTGGGGCATGGTGCATTTCTGAATCCAGAATGCTTAACCATGCCAGCCTTCTCTCGCCCTATTTCCCTGCGCTTACTTATAGAAACATTTCTTCCGCCTCATGGTCAGATTATGCCTGTCATGTGGACATGCATTTGTATCTCAAGTGAAATAAATCTGCCACCGCTGTTTGTGTGGTAAACTTGGTTCAGCTTTATATTGAATTTGTTTGCTATTCGAGGATCAAAGACAACCGGTCTGTACCTTCTTTCCGTGCTTCAGTTAGCATAGCAAGTGGGGGCATCCTGCTGCATTTTTATAAAAATGAAACGGAAAACAGGAGAAAAAAAAAGAAAAAGATATTTTTGTAATATTTAATTCTCTACTGGAATTCTTTTCTCCCCTCCCCATCCTCCATTCGTTTAGCCATGCCTTGGCAACATCTAAATGACGACTTCAAATGGCGTGGGTTTGGGTTTTTGTTTTTGGTTTTTTTTTTTAACAAATTTGAACTCAAGACTTTTATACGTACAAATCAATGACTTTTCTTGTGCTTCAGAAGGACATTAGAACTATCACTGGCTCCTAATTTTGTTTTAATGGAGGCTGTATATAAGTTTAATGCTAACCCAGAAACAGACTGTTGAATTGGGTGAGGAAATGGGAGTAACACTGGGAAATGAGAAGGTGAATGCTTGTGAATATGTAGCGCACAGCAATACCTTTATTACGGATTTTTACCTCTCAGTGGCAGAACAAGGATAGCTATTTGCTCAGCTAATGGAAGCTGAAGTGGTGCAAACACATTTTTAAGAGCAAAACAAGGTAAAGGTTTGAGCCATTCACCACTATAATGTACAATAATATATTTGTCTATAAATTGAGCTGTTGCAAGTAAATACCACCCTCTTTGTAAAGTGAATAAATATACATCTCCTTTACCAAATACCTGTCCCGTGGTGTTTGTTGAGAGAGACCTTAAGTAGCTATGGGGGGTGATTAAGGATGAAGTGTTCTTTGTAAAAAGCTCATTTCTAGTGGAGGAGGAAGCCAACCTAAAATGTTATGTGATGTTCTGCAAAGCACCTGTTGTTGCTGCTTTCTTAGCTTGTGTGTTTCGGTCCTGTTCACTGGTATGCCCACTGCTTAGGAACAGAAGTGGAGTTGCAGTGTTGTCTGGAGGCATTAACAGGTTGTGTTACTGACAAGGCTGGAAGAGACATGGTTGGACTTCATGATCTTAAAGGTCTTTTCCAACCTAGTTGATTCTATTTATCGAATCACAGTTGATTCTATGATTCAGTCTTTGGAAAGCTGCAGGTAGAAGGGCAGCGGCCAGAGGCTTCCAGTTTTTTGATGGTTTTAACTGACAGTAAATTAGTGTCCTAAATAATTTGTTAATTTGCTGGACATTTAGTTGAATTCTGAGATGCTGTGAAGAAGAATGCTTGTGCAAGTACAGACTTGACTGTACCCTCACAAGCCACCAAATTAGGCTGAAGCGATGTGTTTTTAACCAGTACTGATGTTCCTGGCTGGCTTCCAATCAGGAAAGAGGTGTGTGATTGAAGTGCTGTTCTGCTGAGCTTTTGGGGCATGGAGTAACAGAAGGAGCAGTTGTCTTGATCATGCAAGGTCCTTCCGGTATCTGTGTCCCAGCCTTTCCCGAGGTTGAAGTAGGAGCCCTGGGTTAGGGCCAAAGAGCAGGCTGAGTATCTTGTTGGCACTGTTTGGGTATAGGCAGTGGTGGCATGGGACACTTGCCACCACTTCCCAATGTACCTCTAAGGTAGACATCGTTGCACAGCATAAGGGATTTTTGTTTGCTGTTTTTCATGTGGTGGTGGCCTTATTTCTAGGTTTTCGGAGTGAATACATTTTGAATGCGATGAGAAGCAATAGCAGAGATGGCCAGAGGGTGTCACACCAGCTCCACAAAAATTCCTAGCAGATGACGAGCAACTTCTGAAGTCTAAAGGCGGGAAAAAAGAAAGGGGACCAAACATGCCAAAACAAAAAGATGCCACGATTAAGAGAGTTGATAGATAGCCTACCAGCTGTCTCGATGAAGGGAACAGCGGGAGTATTATCATAGAATCACAGAATTATCATAGAATGGTTTGGATTGGAAAGGAGCTGAAAGATTATCTAGTTATACATAAATAGTAACACACAATCAGATGAGGTATGGGGGGGGGTGTGTGTGTAAATAATGTCGATGATGCCTCGTGGTGCTGGTGGAGCAGAGAAGAATGCACCTGAAGGGAGCTGCTGTGGGAGAGATGCAGCTGGGTCATGGAGTGTATGTAATGAGGATATTCCAGCTGTGGAGGCAGGTTGGAGCTGTGAAATACGAACTCACTCCTCTAAATGAGATAACAAGGTTTTGTTGAGGGACAAAGTCAATAAAGCCAAAGCAACAGCGCTGGGCGCATGACCGTAGCCAGAGGCGTGAGTGGTTAGTATTTGTTACAGGTTTATATACTTCACTATTACATTAGTTACATACATATTCATAATTCCTGTGTCTAGGCAGGGGGGATATTATAACTAGTTCAAAGAATTTATTATCGTAAGTCTCCTCTTGGTGTCTGCACACTGCTCTGAGGTAATTGTGGGCAGGGGTCTTGAGGATGAAGTAAACAGTCTTGTGAGTAGGGGTCTTCAAGATGAAGTAGGCAATCTTCCTCACAGTGTGCTTTTCACCTTGGGCACAGTTGGACCCCCCAGCAATCACACAACCAGCTATATCTGTAATTATTCTGTTAACTAGTAAAGATTTAAAACAGTGTGACCTTCCTGCAAAGGATGGGCAGACAAGGGGTATCCCAAGCTAGCAGATGTTTGGGAGGCTCTGTCTCTAAACTAACTGGTAAGTAGAAGGATGGTGTGAAATCATACATTCATGTTTAGTAGGGCCACTCAATCCTGTTACCTCACCACACACAACACATTGTTCTTTAAAGATACTTTAGAACACTAGTGTGAAACAATTAATTCATGTTTAGTGGGGCCACTACATTCCACAGACATACACCATAAACATTGTTCTCTTTCTACAACCTAAGTTAAGCTAAAAAAGTACTGAAGTCCCTCTCTGCACCGCTCTGCTTCTCGATCGATTTCTGCGGCGATTTTGGTGTTGGAGACAGGCAGCTGGAGGAAGGCGGACACCCGCCCCTACCTCAGAGGCCGCTTCCCGCCGCCATTTCACCCGCCTTCCGCAGGCGGAAACGGACACCGCCCTCCGCGCCTCCGCAGCGTTCGAGTCGTGCTGCGGGTGAGGGATGGAGCGATGGAGCTCACACACACGGGCGGTGCCGGGGTTGTCCCAGAGCCGCTTGCTGCCCCGTCGGCTCCTCGGCACCCTGGCGGATGGAAAAGCCGTCGCAGGACGCTCAGCCGCCGGCAGCACCGGAGCCGGCCCCTCCGCACCTCTGCCCTGAGGCAAAGCGCTCGTGCTCCCTCAGCCCTGAGGCAAAGCGCTCGTGCTCCCTCAGCCCTGAGGCAGAGCGCTCGCGGTTCCTGAGCCGTGTGGCAGAGCGTTTGTGGTTCCCCATCCCTGGGGCAAAGAGCTCGTGGTTCCTCAGCCCTGTGGCAGAGCGTTTGCTCGGGCTTTCTGTGGTGCTGCAGGTGCTGTAGGTAACGCAGCAACGCTATAAATGCAGGCGCCTTAGCTACAATGGCGGCTGTTTCAATTGTTTTTTTCTTTCCCGGAAGATGGCATATCTGGAAATATGTGCCTTGTGGTTTGAGTTGTTGGTCAAAATAACTCATACATGTGTTACAGCATCGACATTTTTCTATGGAAAAGCCTCTTGCAGATTGGTGGGGAGAGCTAGGGAGAATGATTACATGCCACTGTCCAGTATCACTAGTCCAGTGCAGGCCCTGCAATCCAGGTACGCTTGCATTAAAAAGGAGCAAACTGTTGCATCCCCTGTTTTTAAGGATGTTCTTGGGGCAGGTCCAGTGTGATATTATAGATCTTTGTTATCAAATGTGTGAAACCATGAGGCAGTGGCCAAAACTCTCACCATGCTGTGCTAAGTCCAGCAGCAGTGCCCACGTTGGGAGACTTGCCTGTGGTGCCATGCCCATAGAGCCATGGAAAGAGCAGCTGCTGGGATGGAGTTGTGCTTCCCCTGTTATGCTGACAGCAGTCTTCCTCCAGCATTTGGACTTTATGGCCAGGATTTTGACAGAATGTGGAAAATGGGTGGCTTAAATGTGTTTTTATGTTGTTCTAACAGCAGCTGACTTGAGCAGTTTAGTATGCAGGAACCCTGTGGGCAGGGCAATGCCAGGGATCAGTGGCTGTCACTTTCACTAGCACTAGCACTAGCAGTGTTATTTTTCCATGCCTGATAGTGCAGCGGACCCCACTGGCAGGTGAATCAGGCCCAGCAACCAGTAGCACATCGAGTAGGTCCTCATCTGCAAAGAATCCATCGCCCTCACCCCCTGACAACAGAAGATGATTTGCAGCAGGTGAAGGGCTGCAGCATACTGCAGCCAGGGCTTGTTGCAGTCCTGTTCGCGCAGCCTCTGCCTGGAAGATGCTTGCCCACAGCAGCAGTGCTGGTACCTAGGAATGCTGCTCTGCTTGGGGAGGCGGAGCACGTACAAAAGCTGTATTCGAAACACTGATCAGGAGATCCTGGAGATAACTGGTGAGTGCAGCAGCTGTTCTTCATGGTGTACAAGTGAGAGCCCAGCCTTAGAGACTGGTTAATGGGGAAAGACGTTGTCCACAGCAAGGGGCAGGGAAACATGCTGTGAATAATTCTGCATTTTCAGGAACAGCCAAGGTCAGAAATCTTTTGAGGCAAGCCATGTTTATGTTGGCTTTGAGTGTCTCTGCAGTAAAGAAAGCAGGGAATAAACCCCTGTAACAGCAAAGCAGAACAAAGGAGAATGTTTGGAATGACAATCTGCATCCATAGAGATACACTAATCCAATAATCCCACTGCATATTTAGCATATCTAGTGCAGAATGCAAACCTTCTTTTAGTTATAACTCCTGGTGATTGTTTGTGTCCTGTTACTTCCTTTATTATGAAGACAAATAAACCCCAAGCAAGACCCAACCCAAACTTGAGTGGGAATTACATAAATGAAGGACTTGCAAACTAGCTTTGAAACTCATGTCCTTACTAGTTACTGTCAAATTCTAGAGACCATTGTGGGTTGCCACCCTTTGAGAGGAAGGAAATCCTGCAGTAGTGGATGGGCAACAAGTGGAACATATGCAAATGTGTAGAACTGAGGTGTCAAAGTTCTGGAGTGTGAATGCCTCAGTGCAGAGCAGTGTGAGGTCAAAGAGACCTGTGGGCTCCCTGTTGTCTGATGGGAGCCCAGAGGACACCGGTGTTCCTCTGGTGGCTCTGTGGAAGTGGGTAAGCATTGTCCACTGCCCTGCTTCAAGTGACTGCTAGCACGGGCAAGTTTCCCTGTGCAGTTTCCAAGAGATCTGTCCAATGAAGTAGCTAGCTTCAGGTGCTTTAGCTTTGCAGTGCTGATTCTGTTATGCTTTGCGTCTTTGCTTTGCAGGCCTGACTGACTGCAGGAGGATGAGGAACGGAGAGCAGAAGCAGTGGAGACCAGGAGCAGACAGTGAGGACAGTGATGGAAAGAAGGAGCCGATGTCAATGCCAAAAGCCTATAAAGTAAGGACACATGGCACCAAGCCAAGTCATGTGTCACAGATCTTCAGTTTATTTCCTGTAGACAGAGCTCTTAGATTTTCTTACTCTGTGGTGCGGGCCCAGGGAAGCAGCTGAGCCAAGGAAGCGCTCAAGTGGACATTGAGCTTCAGGCTGTCTTTGCAGCGTGCCGAGTGTAGACTTCATGTCCTCAGTGTGTATCAATGCAAAAGGTCTTTAAATCATTGCTGTGCTCTCTAGTGGCTCCTGCTGTGTTTTATGAGTGAGAAAACACCATCAACCCATTGGAGCAACTAAATGTGTCTAATGGGGTCAATCATATTCTTGTCCAGTTAGCAAAATACACATATCTGTGAACCGTCTGTGTCACTGTGATGACTGCTGCCGACACACCAGTGTCTTGGAGGTTTTTCAAATCAGCTTTGTCAAGGTTAGATGGGAAAAGATGTTTGCTGGAGCAGGCAGTCCTGCAGACACAAGTCTAGATTGTCTCAGCTTTTGAGTTGTATGGCTGTGTCCTTCTGCCCACTTGTTTCTAGTACGATTTCTAGACTTGCGTGACTTCTGCACAGCTTCAGCTTCTGCTGTGGGTGTGCCCGGGGTGAGTGATGGGAACTGCTGATTCTGGCCATGGGGAATGGAGTCCAGACCTCATCCCCTCGACTGCCTTTGCAGGCGGCGCAGAAGCTGCAGTTGCTTTGGTTTTGCTGTGGTGGGCAGGAGAATGCAGACAAGGAACAGCTTGTGTACACAGGATAACCAGTAAAAGGCTAGAGTAGTTGATTTCAGCCTTGCAGATCCAGAGCCAAATATATCCCTGACATTAACTCTGTTGGCTTCACTGGAGTTTGAACAGGTCCTGATTTGGCTTTTTAGCTGTGCCAAGAAGAAAGGTGTACTGAGGAGGGGTGTGCCTCTGCCTTGGCTCGCTTCATCCCCCTTCCTAGCCATGGCATGGGGAGCCTGAAGTAATTTCAGCAGTTGAAAACACATTAGACGGACCAGCAGGTTAGGGAGATCTGCTGAACTTAATAAATGACAGTGAGCTTGAGATGATGAATTTTGTGGGAGCTGGATAGAACTGAGCATCCAGAGAGCACATAAGCATCTGGGCCAAAAGGCTGGGGGGGAGCTGTAGGAAGGGCAGACGCAGAAAAAATCATGGGATTGAGAAAAGCACACGTTGGCAACGTGCAAAATGGCTGTGGGCACGTGGCTGGAGTTCAGTGCCGACTGGTAGGTCGCTTTAGGGACACTGAGAGGATCTAAATCCATTCCCATACAATACAAAAGGCTGATGGAGGCAGCAGCGCTCAGAACGTCCTTATGCCAAGCAGGTGGATGCCAGGTGGGAATGCAGCCACTGTCAAAGCGGTGAGTGAGGGGAGATAGCTGGCAGCAGTGTGGAACAGTCTTTCCTTCGCCACTTCCCTTCCTGTTGCCCATTGTAGGCCACCCTGCTCCATCGGTTTGACTTTTCCTGACAATTCCTAGATAAGAGCATGGCTTAGCCACTTGTTGTGGCATCAGTGGGGAAGGCTGGATGCTGAGCACCGTGTTCTCCTATCTCCAGGCTTCCCAGCGATCCTGGTATTGCTGTGGTGGGAATGAGAAGATGTCACTGGTAATGCCTTTGATTCCCCCTATCCCAAAGTCAGCAAGACCATTGGATGAGGCTCCTCACAGCACTGCAGTGCCTCTCCCAAGCTCTCAGCACCTGGTTTTTCAGAAGACTCTGGAGATAAGGTAAGCCAGGGTGCCTGCTTCTCCAATATGCCATTCACCTCACACTTGTTGTCTCATGAGGTTGTTTTCCAGTCAGCTCTCCAACATATTTATGCAAACTTCTGTGTGTTCACCATTTCACTTATCTATGATGATCCAGCAGAAAGTCCATACCAACAACATACACTCTGAGAGCAGGGGGGGAGGAGGAGGCAGGGCTTAAGAGGATCTTAAAATCAGGTCCTCTGCTGGGCTCTAATACTGATTCATTCTGTAATCTTTGTGATGACATTTGGGAACTGTATTCCATGGTTCTGAATACAGCATCTGGGTTTGTGTGTCATCTTTGCCAATTTCTGTACCTGTAGGAATATTGTACCTGTAGGGTAAATATTGATTATTGTATATCTGTCTGCAGAGTCAGGTGCTGCTTCTGCAAATGTCTGTTGTAACTTCTGCTGTGTCTGGGCCTTCACTGTGAAATGAGAGCCCAGGTAAATCTTGGCTTAGAAGTGTATAATCCTGTGGAGGTTTAATATTTAAATATGGTTTTAAGATCAAAGTGGACAAGGTGCTAGAGAACAGTTATAGGGCTGTAACTGGTGGAAAGATATTTGCTTGGATATGCCTCAGGAAATCTACCTGTCAACTTTATCCTTGTTGTAACAATAAATAAGGAGTCATAGAAATATAGTCTCAATTTAAAAGCTTCAGCACAGCTTTTGAAGTGCAGTCTGAGTACACTTGCCTAGAGTTGAGTCGGAAACCTCCTTTTCCTTCTTGAAAGAGCAGGGAGGTGTAATAGTATTCCCAGGAGACAGCAGTGGTATTACCATGTGTCACAAGATGCTTTCATCAGTTTAAGGCATGACCAGGCAAAGTTAGGCATCTGCAGCTGTATAGAGATTGCCCTGAATACAGACTTATGATTAGCTTAACATCTCTTGCTTGCTCAGAAAGGATGCATGAACCAGGAAGAGGCACTGAGCTCCAAAAGGAGAGAGAGCAGAACTGGACAGTTAGGGCCCAAAGTGAAGAGTGACTCCTGTGTTTCAGCTGGAGCTTGATGAGCTCTGTGTGACTCCAGCAACAGAAAGTTTAATGACAGTTAGTCAGCTCTGTATGCTGTTGGTTTTACAGGCTGCATTTCCTCCTTCATCAGAATGACAACACTAAGAAAGTTTGCCTCCTTTAATGCTACGTGCTGCCTTTCTTTCTGTCTCCTCATATATTCTGTTATTCTCCATTTTCTTAAGGCCAAGATCAGGCAGCAGAGGTGAAGAGAAGACCCTTAAACCTCTAGGTAGGTAATGAGCACGACTGTCCTAAAATGACCATAGGAATCCTGACCCACGTGGGTGGCACTGGGGAAGTTCATTTGAAAACCATCCTGTAACTCTTTTCCATTCCTTGATGTGCTCAGACAGCTTCCCCAGAGCCCAGTCACTGGGAAATGAGCTCTGGTGATCCGGTGAAAATGGCTTCAGCATGGAGTTATGAATGGCAGGAGCTGGAGGGATACCTTGGGCCCTGGGAAAGCACAGCAGGAGAAGGAAACATTCCTCTACCTTGTGCTCATACCTTTCGTTTCCCTGCACACTAATGGCACAAAGATTAGAGAAAAATGAGGCATTTTGCATGAAATGAGAAATGTTCCCACTCCTTCCTCCTACACTCGAAGGAGAAAAAGCTTCCCTTGCAGCAGTTTCTGAACCAAACCCTTAGAGATCTGAAGTACATTAAAGTTTTGCATGGGGAGAAATAGTGAAACTGTGACAGGAAGTCCTTGTGACTATTCGGTTTGCAGAGGAAGACACTTAAAAAGGGTCTAGCCTATACAGGATCAGAACTATCTGTTCTCTGGCAGCACAAACCTAAATTGAATGCTGAGTAATGAATTGAGGTTTCCTTTGTGCAAGTCATTTACCTCAAACCACATGTGCTAGGTTTATTGATTACAAATATCTTCCCCTACTCTGTCTGTGTATGTCAATATTGCAAACTGCACCTGCGGTAGGCCATGCCAACTGGCCTCTCCATGCTCCCTGCCTTGCATTGTCATTAGCAGTAAGAGTTCTGCAAGACAAAATGCAGTGTCTGGTGCAGCTGGTGTCAGCCAGTACTTTTAAGCTGAAAACCTCAGTGACACCGTTGCTGTCCCTTTGCCATCTGTGGGTTTGTTATGATAGGAGAGATGAGAATTTAGCAAATAATTTTGCTGATGTGGGAAAGGGGATAATACCCCCTGGTCCCTTAGTTCAGTGTTAGTTCTGCCAGATAATAGGCATGCCCCATAATAAAGGAATGACTCCTTTATTGTTGATATGCAGCTAGAATATCTGAATGCAACTAGGGAGACCTCACTTGGAGTATTGTGTGCAGTTCTTGTGTCTTCAACATAAAAAGGACATGGAACTGTTAGAACAAGTGCAGAGGAGGGCCACAAGGATGATCAGGGGACTGGAGTACCTCCCGTATGAAGATAGGTGGAGAAAGTTGGGGCTGTTCAGCCTGGAGAAGAGAAGGCTGCATGGAGACCTCATAGCAGCCTTCCAGTATCTGAAGGGGGCCTGTAAGGATGCTGGGGAGAGACATGTAAGGAATGATTCTCTTGAGTTTTAACAGCTGTTTTAGCATTTCAGAATGAGTTTCACTGTGCTCATTCCCATTATGAACATCACACTTTAGTCAGGCTGCCCAAAAAGTGGCCAAAGGTGCTACAATTTAGAATGGAACTGCTTGGGGAAAATTAATTCTGTAGCTTCAATAACACAATTCTGGTTTTGGTAACATTCCAGCAATCTGAAAATTTTATATATGGGCCCTCTAAAATATTCCTGCAAAGAGGAGGAAATATTGATTCCTACCTTACAAAGGCATACAGCTATTAAAACCCAGGAGCTCTTTAATAACTGGGAAAAGGAGGAAGATTACTGAAATCAAAATGGATAGGGACAGATAAAAATCTTTTTGGGAAGGGCAGTCTCCATCTCTCTGCTCTTCTCTGTCAAACACAGCTGCTCACCAGAAGCCAAGGGCTGAAGCCTTTATCACACAGTGGTTTTGAGTCTAGTGGGCAACAGAGTACTGCTGTTTCTGCAGGCAGTGCAATATGACAGTACCTCCCATCTTTTTGAAGAGTTTACATGGACCTTGGTTTTCTCATACCCAATCTGTATGTGTGTCTTACCAGGCCTCCCTCGTGAACCCATCTTGCCTGTTCTCCAGCATCATGTTGGTGGTGGCAAGACATCTGAGAGAGGTTTTCATGAGCCAGTAGCTCCATTACGTCTCCTACCTATCCAGGCCAAGGAGATGGATCATGAGCAAAAAACCAATGCCATTTATGCTGCCAGTGCAGTATGGTGGTACCCCCCATCTCTTTGCAGAGGTTATTTGTACCTCGCTGTTCTCATGCATAATCTGTATGTGTGTCATATTAGGGCTCCACGCTCGTGAGCCCATCTTGCCTGTTCTCCAGCATCATGTTGGTGGTGGCATGAAGCCTGACAGAGAATTATGTGAACCTGTGGCCCGTTACATCTCCCTCCTATCCAGACCAAGGAGATGGTTCATCTGATGAGCCCTCGCCTTCAGAGTGGTGACAACTCAAAGGACAGCAATGGAAGGGTATGGGCTAAGGGCAGGAACGAGCAGGCTTTCTTTTCAGTGACTGTTCAGTGCGTAGCACAAACTGTCACTGAAAATCATAATCTTTCCCTCTTGGGGTCTGGTTTCTCTTTGGACTACATTTGACAGCTGCAGAGCAATTGCTTGAGTGGTTTCCCTGATACAGAAGTCACCTTTCAGGAGATAGTGCTCAGGTTGTGCAAGAAGCCTTCTTCATGTGGGAAGGCCAATTTAGAGCTGATCTGCACAGTAGAGCAAGTTACACTCGGTGAACATGTGCAAAGTGCATGCTTGGCAGCACAGAAGCAAAGACTACAATGTGAGTGAAAGCGAGTCTGCAAAGTAAAATGGGAGAGCCTGCTTTGCCTTTGTTCCCTTTCTTGCTGCCCTCATTCTCAATTTTCAATTCATTATGACCAATGTCTGCCCCACTTGTTTTCACATGACTTCCTTTTTGGGACTTATTCTTGGAGAGCAGCTGAGTTCTTCAGAAGCAAGAAATAAAAAGCAGCTGCAATAACTGGCCGTGTGCACGTTAAGAAACAGCAAATTACCTCTCATGGCTGTTTCTTGCAGCCATGTTTTTATTCCCCCATCCCGGCCTGTAGGAACTAAGCTCCTGTGCACTTGTCTTTGTACACCTGGAAGCACTCCTGTGACTCTCTTGGTTCAAGCAGGGCTTGAACAAGTGAAAGGTTATGGCAATGAAGTGTTACACATCTCTGGGTGTAATTGCATGTCAAAGTGAGGGAAGGAGGAATTATTCTGAAGCTCTTGGGATGTCTATGTGGCTGCATTAAAGACTATGACACTCTACAACTGTGTTTGTGATGAGGTGTTCTGTATGGTTTGTGTATCTCTCTTATGCTCTGTGATGTATTTCCCTTGCAACTAGATCGATGTTACCTTGTCCACGTCAGTTCAGAAGATCGATTGGCAGCAAATGAGAGTGAAGGAGCTTCTGTGTAGAGAGAGGAAGAAAGAAAGAGAAAAGTCGTTGCAGCTCCTGGAACAGGATATTGACCCTGGGGATGCAGCTGAAGAAAGTAAGTGCTTGCTACAGCTGTGGGCCTTGTGGTTCACTTGCTTGTTATTTGCATAGTGTTGCACATGCCTGCGAAATGCACTGGAATGCTGTTGGCTTGCATCTGAGTAGATAGGAAATAGGATTTTTTTCCGGTTTCCAAATGAAAAGAGAGGTATGAAGTGCCGTGCCCATGGCCCACACTGAGTCACTGAATAGCACCTTCCCCCCTTTGCATGTGAAGTCTTTCGGACTAGATAATTCTGTCTTGCAAACTACACTGTGGCTTCAGACTATCTAACTGAAAGTAGCCTCAAGGAAAGGGGAATGGGTGAGTCCAAAAGAATGCTTTTCAACCAAGGTGCAACCTGGAAGAAACAAAATTCAACTACATCTGAATAAAACTGAAAGATCTGTCTCATGTTGTAGAACATTATCCTGCTTATACCACTCCCTGGTGAGGAGCTTGCATTGCAGAGCCATGCTGCAGCCCTTGGCCAGGGCTTATGATTTTTTCAGGAAAGTTCATCTGAGGAAAGTAGTGCTGGAGCTTTAAGCCCAAGCTTTTGCCCATGCTGACAGTCTCAACTGTAACACTGGTGCCAGGAGACAGCAGTTACTCAAGGGCTGAGCTCTGGTGCAGTCTGGCATGCTGTGCTTATCACGCCCAGAAGTGTGCTCCCCCAGTCAAATAGCTGCTTACTTACTGCCTCAGCCCTCTCTGCCTGTGCTGCTGTCTGGCTCTCCAGCCAGCTTCTCTCCTATTGATTGCAGCAAGGGTTGTGTCTGCATGGGAATTAGTGACTTGGTACAATCATGCTGTTGAACCTCGAAGTGCTTAACAGCTGCAAGCCTCTCATCCCAGGGCACACAGTGAAAATTGGGAACAAGCAGTGCCTCTTCTGTCACTCCACCCAAATAAGGTGTCTGTGCGTAGCAGATGACATACAGGAGAAGGGCTGCCTGGTGTTCGCAGGCTGCTCCCTACCTGCACTAAATGTACGCCAGATGGTGAGTCCATAGTGATTGTCATCTCTCCTTTGCGTGGACCCTACCTCGTGTTATGATCCTGAGGAGAGGGAGTTAAGAAAAAAGAATCTTGGAATGATCCTCTGAAAGTTCTGGTGATGCTACTCTGATTTTCAGAACTGATCACAAGTAGCCTGACGTGGCTGTCCGTTCACATTGAGCATTGGATACTCTGTATTCCCTACAGAATATTCTACATGCTTGTAGAATGACATCACTGATGTTCATGACAGTGCCATCAGTGAAATCCAAATCAATCCCCATCTGAATAGTTTTGATTTTACAGTTTCCCCATACTTTGTAGAACAGGCACGGTAGCATAAAAATCCTATGGAGTCCATAGCAGTTCATCTAGATTCTGTGCAACACTTACACTCACCATTTTTAGACAGCTATTTTCATCTACGCTTTAGAAAATGAGCTTTTGTGTGCAAGGCATGAAATTGTTGACCTGTGGTGCTTTTGATGTCCAGTGGGTTCCATTACAAATGCTTTTGTCATCTGAATTTTCTTCTGTGTTGTGTATTTATCATCAAGAGAGAGTGTTTGCTAACAATTTGCCTTCCAGGAGAATCTGCTCCAAGATTTTGCCAGGCACAGAGATGAGACTGACTGGTCTGTAGTTCCCTGGGTCGTCCATTTTCCCCTTCTTCAAAATGGGGGTTATATTTCTCTTTTTCCAGTCGTCGGGAACTTCACCTGACTGCCATGATTTTTCAAATATGATGGACAGTGACTTAGCAACTTCATTCGCTAGCTCCTTCAGGACCCATGGATGGATTTCATCAGCTCCCATGGACTTGTGCACGTTCAGGTTCTTATGATGGTCTTGAAGCAGATCCTCTCCTACAGTGGGCCTAAGGTCTTGATCCTCACAGTCCCTGCATCTGCCTTCCAAAACTTGGGCGGTGTGGTCAGAGCATTTGCCAGTGAAGACCGAGGCAAAGAATTCATTGAGAACCTCAGCCTTCTCCAAATCCCGGGTAGCCAATTCTCCTGAGAGCGTCCGGGGAGGGTCCACGTCCCTAGTCTGTCTTTTATTCGCAAAGTACCTATAGAATCCCTTCCTGTTATCTTTCACATCCCTGGCCAATTTTAATTCTAACTGGGCCTTAACTTTTCTAACCTGATCCCGAGCTTCCCAGACAGCATCCCTGTATTCTTCCTAGGCCGCCTGTCCATGCTTCCACCTTTTTTTCATCAAGAGGGTTGCTAACTTCTTTTTTCATCAAGAGAATTGCTAACAATTTGCATCTATATTTACATATTCATATTCTCAGTTCACATTTGGAAGGCTTTTTTGTCACAACCATATAGACCAAATATTGCATTTTTCCACAAGAGAAAGCTTAGGCATTGCACAGTTTGCAAACAAGTATATTTGATGACGGATAAATGTCATCTCAGCATCTTTGAAACACAGCCAGCAGGTACCTCTAAAATAGTCAATCTTCATAATGCTTAGAAAATAGCAATATCCATAAACTGCTGCTTTTCCACTAGTATGCTAAAATGTATGTGCAGACAGCTGTCTGCTGTCTAGGGCATTTGAAGTAAATGGAAACATGGGCACTGTGGGGTTTAGAAGGTCAGGTATCACTGTTCCCTAGTAGTTGCGCCCTGGGGACTTGCCCAAGCGCAGCAAGACTCGGTGGCTGGGGCTTGGTGCTCACTGAGGGCAGATGGAGGTGTTTCCTCAGAAGGTCACTGGGTGCCTCTGTCCTCAGTGCTCCGGGAAGCAGGGAGGTGCTACATGGAGGTGTGTGGACATCTTGGGAGCTTACTTCTGAGATAGCAAGCCCTGCTGGGCACTACTGCCTCCCAGTGACCATGAGCTCTGCGGCACTCTGAATCTGCAGGCTGGCTGTGGCACCTGTATGGACAGGGGAGCTGCCTCTGTGTGTGCCAGGTTTACACAAGGAGCGGGTGCCCAGCTGTGGGTGCCTGGAGGATGGCTGGGTACTGGGGCAAGCAACGAGCCAGAGAGCAGGGAAGTCTCTGGGCCAATGCCAGTCTGCAGCCCAGTGATTTTCTTGGCTGAGAGCTGGGGTTGGAGACTACTTGGAGGTGGAGTGCCTCGGCCCGGGGTATGCAGCACTGGTGTCAGACCCTCTCTCTCTCTCTCTCTCTTACAGGAATCCCAGTGCCAGCCACTGCTCCGGACTCTGTAGAGTGTGGAGAGGAGTCAGAGCATGGAGATGACCAGGAAGCCAGACTCTTCCCTGATGCACAGCAGGTGCTGCTCAACACACTCACATGGCTCAGCAGTGATAACTGGTAAGAAAGCCCCATGTGCAGGCTTCCTTCTTCTCAGTGTAAAGGAAAGCATCCTTTTCTTTGCCTTGGTCCACAGCAGTGCTACAGCCACAGCCCATCTATGCTGTTTCCTAGTGTTGCCTTCTGCTCCATGTAGGTTCAAGCATAATGTTCAGGGAAGACAGGAAGTTGTGGAACAAGATGATTTGCTAGCTGAAGTTGGAAGCAGAATGGAAGTGGTCATGAGTTCATAGATGACATAGATTACATAGATGACAGCATTCTGTCACAAGTTCCATGATTTAATTAAGTGCTGTTTGAGAAGCACCTCCCTTTGTTTGACCTGATATGCTGGTAATTGCAGAGGGTGCATCTTAGGTCTTTAGTGATGAGAAAAATCAATCTTTTTGGTGAAATTGCCTTTCAGGAAGGAAAAGACTCCTCAGTGTCAGACGCCTGGCTATCTGCCACTCAAAAGTCCATTTTAGGAGACTTCATGGTGTTTCCTCGGCAGTCACCAGAGAGGTAAGAACATTGTCTCTAACTGTGTCCCACGTGCATCATCCACGGGGCGTAGAGTACATATGAGCTCGTCCATTTGTGTGTGTGCTCAGTGTCTGCCTTCACTCTGAGTTTTAGGCCTCATTTTTCTAACAGCTGTGTGACCTCTCCCTAAGACTTGTCTGTCCATACAGCTGTGTTCACTGGTAGGTAGAACATCTGTCTTTCTCCTCTTTGAGCTTGGTGTCCTTCTAAAGCAATTCACAAAAGGAGAAACTGAGACATTAATCAAGTGATTTGCCAGGTCCCAAGTCTCTGCCCAAGCTGTAATTAAACACTGCAGCTTTTGCTTCCCAGCTTCCTCCCACTTCATCCTCCTCCTCAGCTTCCTGGAGGATTGTCTGTAGGTGTTTTGTTTCCAGCGTTTCCTGATGATGTCTTCTCCTCTTTACCTTCTGTGAGCTTTTTGATAATGCCCTTTCCATTGAGCTGTTGCGCCTGTGCACCAGTGGAATTTTGCAGTGCAGGGTATTCAGTGTTTGTAAACCTCTTTGTTGTGGTTTAAGGCCAGGCAGTAACTCAGAACCATACAGCCCCTCACTCTCTTTGCTTTCTTCTTCTCCCCATCCACTCCCGGAGGGTTGGGGAGAAGATTCGAAAGAATGTAACTCCCACAGGTTGAGATAAGAACAGTCCAGTAACTAAGGTATAATGCAATACTACTGCTACTGCCACCTCTAATAATAATGATAAGGGAGATAAGAAGGGGAGAGATTATGAAACTGAAAGGGGAAAAGAAAACAGTAAACAGCAGTAATGAACAATACAAGTGCTCTCCACCCACAGACAGATAGCCAGCCAGACCCCAGCAGGGATCTGGCTTTCTGGGTGACTCCCCCCAGTTTATGTACTGGGTATGATGTGCTGTGGTATGGAATACTCCTTTGGGTAGTTTGGGTCAGGTATCCTGTCTCTGCTTCCTCCTGGCTTCTTGTGCCCCTCCTCACTGGCTGAGCATGGTAGACTGAAAATTGCTTGATAGAGTAAGCCTAACTTAGCAACAACAAAAAGCATTGGTTTGTTATCAGCGTTGTTCTCAGACAAAAGCTGAACACACAGCACTGTACCAGCTACTAAGGAGAAAAATAACAATTGGGGATGAACCCAGGACACTCTTCTGCAAATTTAGTTGCCTGTGATAGTCACAACTCTTTCTTCCCAATCACTGTAGAATGTCACTGTCTGTGGCTGAACTACCTCCAGATTTCCTCTTTGAGATAACTGTGGTTTCCAGCTGTAGCAAAACCAAATCAAAACATCACCAAACCTGTACTTAGATCAGTACGTTAATTCCTAAGAACATCTGGCATTCAGCTTAAAATATCAAGTGATTTTCTTAGCACTTTTCCTTTGTTTATTCACAAGAGAGCACAGACAGTAATAGTCTGTATTCCATTCTCTCCTTCCTGTGTTAGGTGTTATGGACAGAAGATGCTGAGTATGCTCATGAGTCATCAAAAATTTGAGAAGCGTTTGGAAGAGTCTGTTCCCTCACATGACTTGAGAGATGTTATGGCAAAAATAAGGCAGAAAGTAAGTGTTTGGCAGAAAAGAGTAAAGTCTTCTTTATGCAGGTACTGAGATTGTTCTTGTGAGATTAAACCTGCCTAATCTTTCTTTATCTCCTTCTTCTGCTGAATCATTTTGCTTCTGGGAATGAACTGTTGATCCGCAGCCTGTTTATGTGCAGGCAGTGAAGGAACTGGTGCTGTTAGAAATAGAGAGGGTGCATTTTGGATGTGAGATACAAACAGGAAAGGGAGGTAGGAGAAAATGGTTTTACCTTCTAGCATAAACACTCTTCTCCTAGTAAAGCAAGGAAGTGAGAATAGTAGTATTTGCAACTGAAGAAGGCAGGAGTAGTGCCAAGAACATTACCAAATATACAAAAGATGCACAAGGCAATCATAATTAGTACATGTATTGTCTGTATTCTGGGAATACTGCCCTGCTGTCACGTACTGTGGAGTTGGAAGAAGCTTTGTGAATTCAGCATCCAGAGGAAAGTCATTCCCTTCTGTTTGCTTTCATTCCTCTCCATTTACCTTTTAAGAATGTGCCCTTGTGCAGGAACCGGGAGAGTGAGTGTGAACCAGAACAACTCCCAGCGCAGTAGGCCAACTTCCAGAGAGTCCAAACTTAATGTGCCTTTATATTCATGTGTAGGGCATAGAAAAACTTAAACGCAAAGCTGCACCTGCCAAGGAATCCAAGGTGTCTATGAAGAGTGGCCAGAAAATGCCCCAGAACAACTGGCCTTCTGATGAAGGGTACTGAGCACGTCTGTTATATCTGACAAAGCACATCACAAGCTTTACATGCCTCTGCCTTGGTAACATCTTTTGGGTGGAGACCAGCAGTGCAGGAGACTGTTTCCTTGCCCCACAAATCTGGTGTGATAAAAAATGTCTACTACTGCATTAGGCTGAAGAAACTTTTCTGGAGGGTTTTCCACAAAAATGGAGAGAGAAGAAGAGACGCTCATGTGGGACAAGTAATTTCAATCAGGGCATTCTTATCTGAGCGGAATCTTTTCTAAATGGGTAGTTTGATGAGAGGTCCCAGGCTAGAGCCAAACTGCCATTCCCCAGAATAGCACTTTCCATGGATGTGTTTTGGTCTTGCTGAATCATGGCTTTCTGATCCTTCGACTGTAGCAGCGGGACAATTCTTGATCAATTCTGGCCAACAGATGTCTCAGCATGGGCTCTTTCTGCAGCTTTTCATGTCATTCAGACCCTTTCCACGTTGAAAGATGGACAGCATGTTTGTTTTCCTGTTTTTTCACTATGCTGCAATCAGCATTCAAGACAGGAATTTGGTGCTTGCTGTCTCCTCATGCCAGCAGGATCCTCTGGATCCTTTCTGATATGCCTCAGTCTCTCTGCATAGGATTCATCTTTTCAGATGGATCTGAGCTATTTACCCCAATTCCCACACCAGCTGTAGGAATCAACTTCTCCAGGGTAACAATTTCCATATAATATGACACCTCCAATAAGATGAGGCATTCAAACTTGGAAGTAGTGCCTATTTTTCCCCACAAAGGGATGCTAGATGAATACCTCGAAGACATCTGAAGATAATGAGAAGAATCCCATCCTCTGTACCTCAGTTTCCCTGAATAAGCACTTGTGATAATGTTACTTGCAGATTATTTCCTGTAATGATAGCCGTGAGAGCCAATTTGCTTTTCAGATTCAGATCAGGATGTAGCCGAAATCACATCATTAGGAAGTGTCCTTGAGATGTTTTCCTCGCAGTTAACTGCAGATATTAACACGAAAAGGTCTTATCTCATTTCTGTTTCGCAGTTTGAGGTCTGACTTTGGTGTGCCCAACTTACCCTGTCAGAGAGTGCATCACCTGTCAGTTCAGGCTGTGTAGGAAACTGAAGAGTTCATGAAGCTTTACAGGCTCCTGACAGCTGAGGACTTTCAGTCATGACTGGAGGGAGTGCAGCTCCTCTGAGATCACTGCAAAAGCAGACCCTGGTTCATCACCACTGTCAGTGTCCAGGTATGTGGGGCACCTTGATTGCTCCTTTCCTGTTAGCTCCCTTCCCCAGCCTGCACCATTAAAGTTAACTCACTGCGTGCTGGTTGTTTGGGACGGAATAATTTAATTCAACTCCAGGCTTCAGGGCAAATCATTTCCATCCAGATGTAGTTCTCTGGCAGGTGCCTCTTGGTGCTGTTCGTGGGATGATGAGAGAATTTACTGTTGCTTCATCTGTGTCCTCCTGTCATTTGGGTTGAAATAAAGAAAATCCAGCCCCTGAAAGCTTGGCACTTTGTAGAAGGAAAATTGTTTGGGCTGGGGAAAGAAGGACAGGGCTGGGTTGCTCCTGTCAACTTTATCTTGTCTTGTGCAGACACAACTCTGCCCTCTTTGTTTCCACCCTCATCCCTTTCCTCTTCTCACCCTTTTTTGGGGTTCCTCTATTTGGAAAGAGGAGGAAGACAGGGACAGATCTTCTCTTCCTTCTCCTGCCAGGAGACTGTTTCCTTGCCCCACAAGTCTGGTGTGATAAAAAATGCGCACTTCTGCATTAGGCTGAAGAAACTTCTCTGGAGGGTTTTCCACACAAATGGAGAGAGAGGAAGAGACACTCACTTGGAACAAGTCATTTCAATTGTGTGCCATGGACTTCAGAAAGGCTGTCTTGTTTCACGGCCACAACGAACCCATCCACTCTGCAACCATCTCTTTGCCTTTTGGATTTATGTCCACTTTTGTCCGCCACAGTATCTTGTCACACCGAGTTCCATGATTTAATTAAGTTCTGTTTGAGAAGCACCTCCCTTTGTTTGACCTGACCATGCTAATCAAGTCAGAGAAGAGACATGCAGTGACTGGAGAATGAACTGAAATCCATCTGCGGGTCCTGAGGAGCTGGCAGATGGAGTTACCAAGCCATTAACCATCGTATTTGAAAAATCACGGCAGTCATGTCAAGT